TTCATCCATTTTCGGGCAGAGCTTTTTATTCACTTTACTTTTTTGGGATTTTATGAACTGAAAAATGACAGTTTTCGTGAGAATGACCCTTATAAAAACTGTATATTTTACGAATTCGAAAATTATAATTTATAAACTCTGTATACACCATAGAAAAATATTAATTGCAGTAAATTAGAAAAAAATCCAGGTTAAGAAAGTTCGAGACTCAGGGCAGAATACTTGTTTGGAGGCCATCAAATTTTCTTGACTTCTAAATTTATTCCAAAGAAAAAAATAATTCATTAAAAAAAATACAAAAGCAATGAAAGTAAAGGTCTAATGAACTATTTATTTCAGGATAGTTTAAGAAAACATTAAAAATTAAATCAATTATAAAAATTTACATAGTTAATGTCAAAATCTATCCATATTAAAAAAAACATTAATTTAAAAGAAAAGCATTACTTCTAATTTAACTTTAATAATTTAGGATTAATTATAATTCCACGAACCTGTAAGGTACAAACTTCTAAAGCATCCGCAAAAATACTGAAACTTTTTATGAAATATAAGTTAAAATTATTACCTAAAGGAAACTTTATAATGACTTTAAAATGAAACTTTAAATACTTTGAAAAAAATACAACTTTAAATTTACAGTGAAACTTTAAAATGTGGGACCTTTGGCAAGTGCCCCATCTTCCCATGCAATAATCACACTCCAGATATAACTATTATGTAGTTAGAGAAGATTTAATCAAGTTCATTCTCTTCCCTAACCTATTATTCATTTTTGAAAATAATTATTTATTTATCAACAAAACATTTCACAATACTTCTATTAGAAATTAAAAATATTTTTATAAGAATATTACAAAATTCTACATTTTGAGGATTTACCGTATCTAAATAAAGAACAGTATTTGCAGATCAACGAATCTTCTAAGATTTACAACATTTTCCAGCAATTGTATTTCTCTATTTCAGACAATCGATTCCGCAAAAAGAGTAATGAGAGTATGAGAATTAAATTATCTACAATAACATTAAAACAAAATGGAAATATGAAAAATAATTTCGGAGAAACAGATGAGTAAAGGTTGAAAAATATTTTTCCAAGAAAACTTATTGAACTTTGATTTCTATGTGCTGCATGTTACACAATTCTAATGATTCGAATGTCAGAAAAATCATTTTAATACTTTATTTCACAAACTACAAAAGATATTCTCCAACATGTACTCGTCTCATGAAATTGTCTTTTCACAAGAAAATACTTTTTCTGTGTGTCCACATTTTTATTTCTATTTTATAAACTAAAACTTTAATTTATATGAAAATTGTTAGCCTAACACTCCTGCTTTCTTTCATGTGAGAAATTCTATAATGGACGTAAATTAAATTAACATAGGATTTCCTTCTTTTTTTAATAAAATTTAATAAAATATTAAAGTAATCTCTCAGCAACAACTTGACCTGGCTCAACAAACGTGCAACAAAGATCATGCACGGAGCGCAGGGATCAAAATTAGAGTGTCTAGATTTTTCACAAATGAAAATGGACCTAGATATATTTGTGATGCTGGAATTAGATTCATTTCTACCTGGGAGGGGGGGGGGACACATAGATTTTAAATGAAGGTCAAAGATTGGAGTGTCTATGTATAATCTTCCCGCGTGCAAATCATTAAACAACATTTGGCACAATTTTATTAAGTAGAAAATTTTTAAAGATTTTTTCTTCTTCCTGTTTGTAAGTTTAAATGAGTTTATATATAAAAGTATATATGAATTAGCGTTTGCTGGTCGGAGGTTTTGAGGAAAAATTATGAGAAAGATAAGAATCTAACTTCAAATAACCTTTTGATTTTGTTTCATGACCAAAATTTGAAGATACACAGTAAAAAATCCCACAATATGCAAAACATTTAATTTTAGAATTTTTAAAGTAATAATTGGAGTTTTTTTAAAAATATTTTATTTCATTTATGAGAATTTTTTCTTCAACATAGAACCAAGTTGCTACGTTGGCCCTAGGAAAGTTTTCATTTTTGGATCAATAAGATTTATTATTATATAAAGCTTATAATTTCCATTGTTTTGCTTTAATTTGATATTACTGTGTTAAAAAAAATTAAATAAGCTATATTTTCATACCAACTTACATAATTCCCTAAATACATTTATTGTAGATTGGAGGCATTGTTGTATTCAGCGTGGGAATTTGGACGCTCGTAGACAGGTCATTTATGGAAAGACTGTTAGGAAGTGACTTGTATGTAAGTTCAGCATCAATACTTATTGCAACTGGGATCATTGTCAGTATAATTTCTTTCCTTGGCTTTGTGGGAGCATTTAAAGAAATAAAATGTATGCTACTAACGGTAAGTTTCTCTTAGTACATGATTCATTTTAAGTAATAGGGTGATAATATTTTGTATGCAATACAAATCAATTTATTATTATTTTTTTAGTTTTTCATCATTCTCTTCATGATATTCATTGTAATGCTTGTAGGAGGAATTCTGGGATATGTTTTTAGAAGCGAAGTAAGTACGGACTCAGCAATTCTAACATAACTACCATAATTTACTTTTTTTTTCCTTATGAAAACAATTATTTTTGATTCAGAGTTAACATAGAGTGTTTTTAAATCACCACCCTTAATAAATAGTTTTTGAACTTTTGTTAGAAAAGAAGTTAGATCTGGTCAGAATATTTTCAGGTTTGCCAAAATCCTTGTAAAATGTAGATATGAAATGAAATATACAGTATAGTGTTTCTGTCCTTTCTTACTGTTTGTGCTTAATAAGGGAATAAGTAAAAAATAGTACATAATACTTTTGTTTTACTCTGCTAAATATAAAAAGTTAAAATTTAAATCAATCTCTGATAACTATAATTGCGAACTTCATAAAAATTTTATGCAATGTTAGTAAACTCCATCACTAAAATTCTAAAACATACTACAATTTTTATTCCCCCCCCCCAAAACTGCAATTTTAAATCTAGTCTTTGCTAAGCAATAAGAATATAGACATAAATTTAAAAAATTATCTTGAGAATTGAATATTTAATCATAACAAAAATGCTTCTTTTTTTTAAAAAATTTCTATCATTCCATCATTTTAACTAGGATACACTGTACAAGTTACTTCTCAAAATTGAAGGTCTGTTAAAACACTTTAAAATGTTAACAGCATAAAATTTGTGAGCTCTTTTAGTAAAAGTTAAATTCAGTTTTAACTTGTTTACAAAACCCCTTAGATATAGCTTGCATTAGAAATATATTATTGAACATTAATATTGATATTTAATTATGGTTTCAGTTGTGATTATCAAATACTCTATTTTAGGTAGATGACCGTATGTCAAACGAGATGCTGATGACCATCAAGCTGTATCAGAATGATACTCAAGTCACTGATGCTTGGGATGCAGTGCATACCATCGTAAATATGCATGATATCAAAAAAATTTCTTTTTTGTGTTTAAAGATTTGATATTCATAAAATGTTTCTTTTTCTTAAAAAAAAACAAAGAAATGATCAAATTCATCATAATAAGTAACTAAGGAAAATAAATTTTACCTCTCAAACTTATGAATATACCTTTTAAGGTATCAACTAGTTCAAATCTTTAGGCACTATCCTGACATACAATAATATCAAAACAGAAATTAAAAATAGGATGTCAATGGCAAACAGGTGGTCTTTAAGTTATAAAAATCATCTTAAATGAAAGCTTATCACCAATAAAAAATTACATAATATCTTAAACTCACATTAATTTTATATAAATTACTGTTGGTCTTTGAAGTTATTTACTGATTTTTGAAAGAAAATACCTTGATCCATTTTTGTGGCTGTCAATGTAAATGATTTTAGTAAATTCTAATCATGATCTAAACATGAATTATATAAAAAATTTTAACAATAAAACGTCATCGAATCCAACAAAATAAACATTTACAAAAAGATGTTGCTGATCTATTTATTAAATTGACCACTGGTAAATTTGTTAGATAGATTATAAGATGGATTGTCTCTGTAGAAAAAGACCTGGAAAATAAAGGCAATAATAGATTAAGAGACCTAGCATCTGATCGAACCAACAGGTGATGACTTGCTAACGTGGATCTGCCCTTTATCAGGCTGTCATGCTGCCAAAAAAGAAAAAATATTATTTTTTACAATAAAACGCAATCTTAGTCTCTAGTATTAATGTTTTTGAATTTTTTTGTATGCCTTTATAAAATGTTAAATTTGGTAAGCTCTGTATTGGCCATATGAGATTAATGAGCAATATTAAGATTATTACAAAATTTCCCAGCTCACCCAATTTTTCTATTTCAACCACTGATTAAATGTTCGAATTTTTGACTTGATGTAGGATGATCAGATCATCTAGATTGGCTATTTGAAGCATCTGGAAAATTTTACAATAAAGGAGAGCTAATGATAAAGGCATTTTTTCATTAAAATTTCCCAGGTTCTAAGAACATATGTGTATGTATAGAGCGAGCTCTTGGTCCACATTAGTAAGAAAATTACCTAAATTTAATCTTGTATTTTTTTACAAAATTTATGTTTTAGCATTTATGTTTATGATCTGCACTGTCATTAGAAATACTTCTTCCCTTTTTTAATCTTTTATAGGATTAGCTTGTTTATAGCTCTAACTTGTTACATACATTTTTCAACAAAATTAAAGCTATAAATGTTTAAAAACTAATCAATTGCGCTATTTACCTAATAAAATATTTTTTAAAATTTTATTTTGAACAAAAGGAAAAATGCATTAAAGGTTAGTGTTCATGTTTTAAATTCCTTCAATTAATTTCAGAGCATGAACAAACTCTTAAAAAGAGCAGAAAAATAACATAAGTGATCAAAATTTTAAACTCTCTGTTGACAAAAAGCACCCAAAATAATTTTTTACTATTTGGTTGAATTTTCGTATACTAAAAATTGCATTCTCAGTTTGTCTACTCTAAAAATAAATTCTTTGTGTAGAATGTGTGTGAAAATAGTTATGCTTGTAAAAAAATGTTTACAGGTAATAAAAATAAAATATAAAAAATTCAATCAAACTTTTTTTTTCAGTTTCAGTGCTGTGGCATGTCGATAGAAAAAAATCCAGGCTATATGATATGGTCAAAGCGCAACGCTCACTTTGGAGGAATTTACAAGATACCAGCTACATGCTGCAAAACCAAAGATGAGGGATTGCGAGATAACTGCCAAAAAGATCCCAACGATAGCAATGCTTATTTGGAGGTTTGCTGATTTAATAAGAAACTTCATAAATTATACCGAATTAAGAGTTTTTTTTCTTTCTATATTTATACACTTTTTGATTATCTATGTCTGATAAAAAACAGAATGTCTTTGTGTTGCCAAGAACTTTTAAATGAATCAATTTTTTTTGTGAATATACTAGTAGGCAACTGTAAACTAAGAGCTTAAGTAGAAGTAAAATTTAAACTATATTCCAGTGAATTTAAGTTAATTATCAGGTTGAATTAAAAGTTTATTAGTTTGATTATTCGTCATAAATTATGAGGTTGACTTGCATGTTAAAATATGGGGGAATAAAAGCTGAAGTTTAATCTAAAAATGAAGGAATATGCCTAAATCTCAGAAAAGTAAGCCTAATTTGAATTAAATAGTTGAATACAAATTTACAGGGCAAGGATCAACAATGGAAAAATTTCTGTTTGGAGTTAATATGTAAGAATATTAATTCACACTTACAATCAGAAATCCTAATAAAATAAATTCATAAAGAGAAAGTTTGTTAAACAACTCTAATGAGAGTTTAATAAATTTTTGTAAATAAAAAATAGTTTAAGAGTATGAAAAAATTTAATTTTGTAACATTTGTAATTTTTCTTCTGTAAATGAACAAAAAACATTTTAAGAAGTCAGCTTTTCTCAAAACATAATTATTAATAAATTTCAGAGTATGTGAGAAAATGAATATTATACCTAACCAACCTTTATTTCTTATTTACAAACAGCCAATTGACTATAGATAACTCCTAATACTCATTTGAACTAAACTGAGGTAAAGCAGAGTAACAATGTGCAAGGGCATAGATAATGTAAGACAGACAATCCTTTCAGTACAATAATACCATCATCAGTAAAAAGGTGCAATCAGAGGAATTAACAGAAATACTTAAGAGTTAATCAAGTTACAACAAGAAAGAAATTTAAGAAAAATTGATCAAGTTACTTAAACCAAATAGGCATTTAGAACCTTCTTTAAATCTTAAAAATATCATTAAACTGTCACTTCATGCCTTCATTCATTAACATCTACAGAATATAAAGACTCAGCAAAATAAATAAATGTGGAACAGTTAAATAAAAATCCCTATTAAATAAAAAAAACATAAAGCACCTTATTTTACTAGACTCTTCTGGTAAAAAACTTGATTTAAAAACAAATGCTTAATGCATTTTTCTTTAAAATTAACAGAAAATTTTTTTCAGTCTCATTCGTGACTTATAATATTAAAATTTTGTTGAATTTCAGCTAAGATCTACAAAATATGAAAAAAATTATTAAAACTTAATTTTTACATGAATCAAACCACAGTAGAATAAATTGTGCATTTATTAGTTTGAAAATGGTTCAAATTTATTCATTCTCTAACTCACTGTAAAATCTGTTTATATATATTATATATATTTTCTTTTATAAAAAAATAAGACAAAAAAATTTTACAAAAAAATATGAAAGAACTAAATTTGAGCTTTGATAACACAATAAACAATTTTTAATTATATTGCTATCATAAATACTTTGAATCACTATTATAAATATATTAGCATAATTTTATGTCAATGATTTTTTACCACCCAACAATGTGCTGTCACCTCATATTTCCCAGTTAGATTTATTTATTGCTCTTTTTTATGTCTCGCATGTACAATGATTAAAAAAAATTCTAGTGCTTAAAATTCTAAAAAATGTTAAGTTTTATTTTGTTAAATAAAAAAATCACTTCAACAAAATCTATCACAATTTTTTTAAGTAAAAAAAGGAAAAGGTTTTTCCATAAATTCATTGCAATTTAAGAGCCAGAATTCCTCTCATAGCATGATGTTTGAAAAAAAATGTTTTTCTTCTGAAAGGTAGCAATGGGCATCGAGATTTCTAATGATTAGATACTATTAAAGTAAAAATAAAAGAAAGAGTTATTACTGTTGTTGTTTTTATCAACAAAGTTTTTCTAATAAACCTAGTTTTTATTTTTGCTTTATAGAGTCCTTTGTCAAAAATTTATATATATTACGTTTTTTCCTTTAGTCTTGATGAGGGGGTAATAACGAAGGCAGTATGTACTAGAGCCTCTTTATTCTGGCACAGGAAATTTAAAAACTATAATAAAATGGGCCTTTTTTTTAATAATAAGATAATAAGGATGATTTGACATGGGTGGTTATAAAGTTACTTTTATAAACTAAGTTAAAAAAAACTGTAGCAATACTTTTTAAATGACTTGTAAAAGGCACAAAACAATTTTTAATGCCAGAACAATTTTGGTTAAAATTATTTGTAAAGATGCAGTATATGATAATAGTGGTATAGTTAAACATCAGGACTGCCAAATACTTTTTGCAAAATATTTTACAGACTAGTAGACATTCAAAAACGAAAGCTTTCAGAATTTTTCTGGTAATTTTGCCAACATTTAAAAAGCTTCACCACGATAGAGATGAAATAAAGTGATGTTGCATATGAACTTTTAAATCCTTTATATGTAGTGGTGAGGAAAATAAGTTTTAATGAATAAAAAACAATGCAAAACATAGACCACTAGAATCAATTTTTATAAAAAGTCTAGAAAGTTGGCAGCTCTGAAATGTGTCAGTCTGTTTAATAATAATAATTTGAATTTAAAAACATAATAAAACTTGTGCTCATAATTTGATTTGTGAATTATATTATAGGGATGTTATGAGAAGATGAAAGATTTTGTTGAAAGACATGCCAAAATAGTTGGAGGTATTGGAGTTGGAATAGCTTGCTTATTAGTAAGTAAATTTTTTTTAAATTATTAACTGTGCATGAAAATATACATTAACTGAAACTTCTCATGGGCCATTATTACAAAGGTTTTTCCATAAATTCATTGCAATTTAAGAGCCAGAATTCCTCTCATTGCATGATGTTTGAAAAAAATGTTTTTCTTCTGAAAGGTAGCAATGGGCATCGAGATTTCTAATGATTAGATACCATTAAAGTAAAAATAAAAGAAAGAGTTATTACTGTTGTTGTTTTTATCAACAAAGTTTTTCTAATAAACCTAGTCTTTATTTTTGCTTCATAGAGTCCTTTGTCAAAAATTTGTATATATTACGTTTTTTCCTTTAGTCTTGATGAGGGGGAAATAACGAAGGCAGTATGTACTAGAGCCTCTTTATTCTGGCACAGGAAATTTAAAAACTATAATAAAATGGGCCCTTTTTTTAATAATAAGTTAATAAGGATGATTTGACATGGGTGGTTATAAAGTTGCTTTTATAAACTAAGTTAAAAAAAACTGTAGCAATACTTTTTAAATGACTTGTAAAAGGCACAAAACAATTTTTAAATATTGAAGTATTTATTGAAGTAGGAAGCTGCTTTAAAGTGGTATTTTTGGAGTAAGAAGAATTTCTATGAACAATTTGGCTGAAAAGTTCTTTCTTTTTTTGGCCGTTGGTTTGTTTATATTTTTGCAGGTATACAAATTTGTTTCTTGTTGAAAATTCTAATAATCCAAAAAGCTAGTTTAAAAAAAAGATTGTGCAAATGGGGCCATTGAGAAAATAATTTAAAAATACAGCTGGTTTTGAATCTTAAATTCAAATTCTAAATTAGTGATTCTAAATCACTAAAAAAATTATTTCGATATTTTGTATATTAGGAAAAGTATTCAATGCTGTATAGGATATTACTCTTCAAAATCATTTTCATAATTGGCTAAAATGTGCATTGAGCATTAAAGCATTTTTGTCTACATGGCAAAAACTCATTTCGCACCAAGACTAGTAGCGAAATGATGAAAATTAGTCAATTTAACATTGCAGCAAAATATTAATTATAAAATATACCAGCACTTGGTCAATGATGTAAATAATGCCTTACAAATATGTGTTAGGCAATATATTGTCATTCATGGGGTGAGCAATAAATAGTGTACAAAAGTTTTGAATTGAAGCAAAACATTTATAACAGGTACTGGTAAGTACACTCTGGAATAGTTGCAATAAACTCTAATACTCAATTTGTTATTCAGACAATTTTAAGCACTAGTGTTCTAAGAATAGAGAAAATAACTTTTTGTTTAGAAATACTTTTTAGGCAATAAAATTTAAGTGTCTAGGAATAAATCTAAAAAAATCTTGAACCCTCAGAACAATTAAGTTAAGTGTTGTTTTAGGAAACAGCAATCAGTTTACCTTTCAAATATTGTATAATTTTCTTTTGCAATATGCAATAAAGGGAAAAATTTAGACTATTACTTCAGCCAGAAGTGACTTTAAACAACCATTCAATACCTCTTTACTTTCAAAATATCTGTTCATTATATCACTTACTAATATTTTTACACATCATACAAATCTTAAAACACGTTTAATGAAACACGTCAGTGCATGGGAGCAAACTGTCATTTCCTAGGCAAACTAAAGTTCATATTTTGTTTGGATGTGAAAAAATGTCCTGTTTAAAAGTGAAATTGCAAAAGAATACAGACTTTCTTTATGGGTCACCTTGAATGATATTAAAAATTTCTATTGTTCTTTAAACATTTCAGTTCAAGAAACTGTTTATTCCTTTAAATTTAACAAAGTGATTGAATATCTGCTCAGCTTTTATAAGAGACAAGTGACAGTAAATGCATGGTTAAATATAAAATAATTCTTAATAAAGCATTTTAAATTAAAAACTGTTATTCACCCATAATAAGAAACACCTTATTAAAACCAGATTTCATCATAACAACCAAGTCATTACACATATGAATAGGGCTCTTGCTTAAAATGAATATTTCAGGCAACCAGACATTTAAGGAATTTACACCTAACTCTTAAATTTTGAAGTTGACTTATAGGTCGGAAGTTTACCAGAAAAATGTATGAAGTATGAGGAAATGAGAGATTTTCTCGAGAAATATTCCATAATTGTTGGAAAGATTGGAGTTGGAATAGCTTACTATGCAGTAAGTAATAATTTTTTAAGTAAATAATGTAATATAGGAAAAGTCTCTTGAACTCTATATGGTGATTCTAGTGAATTTCTAAGAAAGGATTTCAAACCACAGCTGAAAAGCTTTTCACTTTATGATTTTGAGAAATTCCACATGAACTATGACAAATTTGATGTTCCGAGAATTGAAACATACAATAAAAAAGCGAGTGAAGAGCTTTACCCACATAAAAATACAGCTTAATTTTCCATTATATGAAAAAAAAAAATCAAGTTATGAAAGTTTGTGTCGTTTATACAGGGTTTACTAAAATCATGGATAATTTGAAAAATCTATTAAAGAATGCTGGCAAGAGATAGAAAAGTATGGTTAGTTCCATTCTTATTCTCCATTCTCTTAGGAAACTAGATTTTATTTCTGCTACATGTCAGACCATTCCATTTAAAATTTTTGCGCAGATGTATGTAAATTTTGCCTTTGGATTGCGTCAAAAAGTAGGTACAAATATTGACTATTTTTAAAACCTTATTTTATAAAGTTTTTTTTAGTTAATAGTGTAAAATGTAGATGATCTTTGATTTTTCAACAAGGACACAAGGTTAACTGTGACTAAACTTTCTGCATATTTTAAAAATGAGACTACCTGAAAATCGAATTGTAAAAATAAATAAATAAAAAAGCTATATCCAACTTAGCGAAAAAAAAAATAATTTACACATACATTAGATTTCATTAATAACTTTCATGCATAACCATAATGATTTGAAGGTTAAATTTATCTAAGCAAATTAGAGCTACATATGAATTAAGTTTAAATCAGATATAAGCACCCATTTATCTGAATATAAATTTTATCTTTTTGATGGATTCAGATTAGTAACCTTTAAAATATGGGGGTTAGTTACAATCTAGAAAATATGGTCCAAATAGAACCATAACTCCAGTTCAAACTAAAAAGAGTAGTTTGAACTCCTTATTGTTATCTTTAATTTTTGCACTTTCTGCTTTAAGCTCTATAAATAATACCACGGAACAAACGATAATTTTTATTTTTTTTAGAATTTAATTTTAGTTAATTTATTTTATTTAACTTACTCTTATTTAAAACTTACTTATTTTCTTTTATTTAAAACTTACTAAAGTTAATTTTTATATTTTAAGTTTACTGAAAGAAAGTCAAATACCATTCAATACACCTCATGGAAAAGTGTGGATTCTTTTGCAATTTCACTTTTCAATAAGACATTTTTTTCACATTTAACAAAATTTTAAATTATATTTGTTGTTAGATTAGATTTGTACTACCCGAGATATTGAATTACAGTTTACTCCCCTGCTTTTAGCACTAAAACTCAAGAATTCTAAAATTTTATGAGATTTAAATAATGCTATAAAAGCATTAACGATATTATAAAAAAAAATTAACAACTGAATCAAAAATAATGTCGAATCTAATAAAAAAAAATATAGAGAAAATAAGGTGGAGGGTTATGAGCAGCAACCTGTGTTTTCTTCCAAAATGGTAAGACACCAAATGTTCTAAGATTATGGAAAATGTCTGGTTTATATTAGAGTTAGAAAAAATGGTTGGCTAAAAGTGTTTTCACTATAATTTCAGAAACACAAAGGATTTCAATTAAAAAATAGGAAAAATGGTTATAATATGGTTAGCTATGCTCTTTTCTTTATATATTTGTTAAAGTAAAAAAGAAATGTAAAGTTAATATCTTTCACATTAACAACTCATTGACAGTCACTTCTAATAGGAGAATTTTCATAGTACGTTCCATTTATTGAATTTGAGTTTCATTGTAAAAGCAGTGGATAAAACAATTTGTAGAGGTTTATAAAATTTTTTTACAGCTTGTTGGCATGGCCCTATCTTGTGCTTTGTTCTGTCTTATCAAGTAAAACCATTTTTGGAAGTGTGTTGCATGCGTGTGGATGAAAGAAGTCAGAATGGAACACTTAACATTTTTGAGATTCCTTCCCGTCTTCAAGCAGCCATCCGTAAAGAAAAAAAGACCATGAGCAGTTTTTACAGTCAGCAACATCAAACCATTTTTCTTGCTTTCAATGTACTCTAGATTAAAACTACTCAGAACAATAATTGTATAGTTATACCATTCTTCCTTGCACATTATTTTCATTCAAACATTTTCAGATATGCACATTTGTATATTATTCCCTAATTTTGTGTCAACTTATAGAATTTTAATTTGCCATTAGACATACTAACAAATCTGAATCATATGTTAATATATCAAATTCATGTCTTAGCATTTTAATTTAAAGAAAGGAAAATGGACTTGATGATTTTTACCAATGTAACCAGCTGCTGAAGAGCTCTCCGAAAATAGTATTACACCGTTGTTCAAAAAAAGAAAAAAAAAGAAAGAAAAACCATAATATCCGTTCCATGTAAAGTGATAAATCTTGTTATAAATATCAAAATAAAGAGCGATTTTTACCATGTTAAAATTGGTTTCGCTGAATACAACTGTTTGAACTTTAAATATTTATTACCGTTGATATTCAAGTTATAAAAATTAATATTAGCTGTTTTCAGACAAGTTCTTCAGTTTTCCTTCCAAAAGTGCCTTTTTTACATTGCCCAAACCTTTAACATACGAAATATCCTTCATGTTCTGTTGCCATTGCTTCCATTTTTCATAACTTGTTAACAAAAAGTTTAAACTACTGTGTGATATGCGGAGGTCTGTCTTGAAACGTTAATACTATGCAATTTTAAAATTGCATTCAATATATCAGTATTATTTTACAATAGTGCTGAAAGTAGTTCTACATGCATTTATGCTGGATTTGCAAGTGGACCACAACAAAATGTTTGGTCAAATAACTCACCAGTTTTAGAATTTACTATCTTAATGATTCGGTGACTGAGCACCTCACAGTTTAAGATGAAGTATTTAAAAGCAGTGTTCTATTAAAAATGATTCATGCTTTTAATTAATATTTTTTTCTACGTGGTTACTAATATAATTTAGTCACTGTTCTTTAATCACAAATATTTATGTGAATGTTGCAATAGTTAAAAATTCATTTATATTGGAAAGACAAACATTCCTTAACTATTTTTATGACCACAGATTTCTTTCCACGTATATTTTTGATGTAAAGAGACAAAAATGATACCTTGCTTTTAGGCAAAGATTAATATTGTTGATGATGATCAAAACTAGTCTAAGTCTAATAAGTTTGATATATGCTAGCTTTAATCAAAACCAGTGATATGCTATTTACCATTTCAGTAATTAATAAAAATATGCAAAGCAATCGTGTATTGCTAATATTAAACACGAATTAGCATTGTAAAATCTACAATACATATAATAAATTAATTCAATGTCTATAATTTGTAATTAAATGTTTTATGTACTGTACATGAATCACACATTAAATTTATATGCATGAAATATGTATAACAAGTATTTACAAAAAGAGTAATCTATGCACATCAAATAATCATGGTGTTCCCGTCCCAAAACTATCAATGTATATATGACAGCAATGTTTGCCTTTCCAGAAGATGTTAAATTTTTACTCTAATGATAATGTAGAATATTTAAAGATATTTATTGTAAAAAATTATTTATGGCTCATCGGTAACTTATTAGCACAATTTGTACATGGAACAACTCAAAGTAGTAAAATGCTATCATTGACATTTTAATTTTTCTTAGATATAGATTTGTGTGTAGCTTAAATATAATTGTATTTGAATGTTATATTTGTGGTTGTATAAATGTGTATTTGAATTTGTTATTTAAATATCGTTTAATAACTATTTATTTTAATTGTAAAAATGTGCTGTTTATAAATTTGTAGATAAATCTCATTGAATGGCGATTCCAACTTATGAATAGATTTTATCTCTGACCAAAAATTCATCAGTTTAAAATTTGTTTAGCAATTACTACAGTTTTGTAACATACAATTTTACTATTTAGAACTGCTTCTAGAGTTAAAAAGAAGCGCATTGTGAATGTATTTAAATTTGCAGTATTTGTTCATGCATAATGTTCCTGTTTACTTAAGTAAATAAATATTTATGCACTGATTTTTATTAGAAACACTGAAAATAAGTTGTCTTGTTATATGTTTCATGTCAGTTCTTTGAGTGTATATTAAATGATTTTATTGGAAAATTTTGTCATTTTTTGTTGAAAAAAAATCTTGGTTTATTTATTATAGGCTTTATATGGTGTAGAAATGTCAAGTAAATTAATTGAATGTTACAGGGAATGTATTAAAACTCAACCTAAATTTTTTATGGTTATCTAAACAATTTACCTAATTTTTATGTTGATTTATATAAACATATATTTGATGTGCCACAGAGAATAGTGTTATGTTGCTCAATGCTAAAATTTCCCGACGATATTCTTTTTTCAAAACAATCAAATTATAAAGTTATGTCATGATAGTGACCATCCCGGAAGAGTAAGAAAGTGAAATTTCAATATTTTCAGAAAGTGTAAGGCCACTAAGATGAATGTTGAATGAAACTCAATGGTCTCCATAGAGAAATTTGTCAGATCAGAGTAAAAGATGACAAAATAAAAGCTTAAATTTAGGCCTGAAAAGCATTTAAAACTAAGACAAATGAAATAACAGTATATAGATTCAACAGCTCCTTCCTTGCACTGCTACAAGAAATTTAAGCTGATTGTTTGAGTACTAAATTGTTCTTCAAATACCAGGTGCATAATTTCTAAAATGACTGGCATGGTCATGTTTCCAGTTTTACACACACTTTCCTGCCTTTACATACACTTCAAAATTCTGTATTTGTTTAATCTTGTGTGAATATAAATATACTGAAATTTGCAGAACATATTTTTGAGACTGAATCTTTTATTATGATTTAGTAGAAGCTTGAAAGTAAAGAATAGTCCAAAGTGTGCAAGTCTATTTTGGACTTTTCATTACATTTTTAAACACTACTCCTTATTACAGCATATTATCTATTTTTGAGATAGTTCCACAAGATTTTAGACTTCATGAAACCAAGTTTATTTGTCCAAGTTTGAAATAAAATTATGCCAAAGATTTGTAGCAATTGCGGATAATTTTCTGAAGAATTTAAGGTTAATTATTAAAACTATTTAAACATGACTAATAAAAAGTTGCCATTTTTTAGCAAATTTAGGACATTTGTTGGTTTGTAGCAATTTTTAGAAAATTTTTTATACTAAATTTACGAATAAATGTATAGTTGCCTTACTTGTACCTAGGCCAGGATTTTTCCTCAGTAGCTTTAGAAATGTGATACGTAAACTACTTCTTTCAATATGTGATGTGCAAACATTATTGTTCTTAGGGGAGTTACCTTTTTGAACTAGTGTTAAAGTACAAATATGCCAAGTTATCAAAGTTAGTTTTATTTATGCAATTTACACATTTATTTTAGTGACTAGCACTTTCAAAACTGTTCTTCATTATTTAATACATGAATGTTCGGATGGAGCTATTTTTGCTTTTTAGTATTATAGTATACAAATTAATCATGGTCAATATTAAAAGTGCTATTTTTTAACCACGAACTTGAGTGTGTTAAGTTACTCCTCTATATTAAACAAGAGTAGATACCGTAAACGATGTCTGCAATTGAAACAGCTAGTGGTAATCTAATGACTCCTAGCTTAGTCTCTCAGACACTTCCTAATCCTACAATAACAATCCCAACAACAGAGTGATAGAAACAATGAACTAATGGTGCAACTGAAAGCTCTTCAACAAAGTTTCAATAGACTAAAAGCTGAAAATTTTTAGTTAAAAAGAGAGAATAGACAACTCTCAAACATGAATTAGCAAAATACAGAAGCAATGACAAATGACAAACCAGATCTTCCTGTAACTACTGTTGGAAAGAGTGTGAGGTTATTTTTCTTTCTTGATACTATTAATTAATATAGATGAGAAATTTCTAACATCAAGTGCAAACATTTAATGACAATGCTTGATGAGATACAAGACTAAAACATATTCCAATATAAAGTTAGAGTTAACACATATCAGTTCATAGTTAATTACAGCTACTGCCACATCTCTCCCTTTAAAGATTTAGTCTATTCTGGGCTCTCCCAGAGTGAGGAAGAACAGCTTTTGGAGATTTATCATTCTTCTGAGACAAGACTGTTGAATCTGGATTCGTTGCTTCTTTCATTATCTTCATCAGATAGAGCTTCTTCCAAATAATCTTTCGGTGGAGGAATCTGTAGCTTAGTTCCTGGAATCAAATGCTTTCTATTTCCTGGAAGCGCCTGTTTACCTTCTTTAATAAAACATGACCTTTTCTCTGTACAGTAACAACAGCCTTTCTATCAGTTATATACACATTATTACCTGGATGTATTAGTTTCAATTCACGGGCATCGTGTCTTCGATCATAGTTCTTTTCCTGCCTTTCTATTTTTTCCCCTATAATTTCTCCTTTTGATCTAACTTTGGTTGAAGCAGTGAAATTGCTAAAGGTAAGGTTGATTGCAGTCAACATCCAATCTACAATTCAGCAGAACTGTAGCCATTTTTATAGGTGTCGTTCTATTACTCAATAAAGCCAAGTAATGATCTTTAGACTCTTTTTTTGAATCTTAAATTAATTATCTTCAATGCTGCTTCAACAAAACTATCGCTTTGAAGATACCTTGGACTTAAAGTAATATGTTTAAAGCCACACACTTTTGCGAAGTCTTGTAACTTGGCTGTTCTAGTAACTTCAAATTGTGGTCCATTATTTGACCTTATAATATCTAGAATTTCATGTCTGGTGAAAATCGATTTAAAATGTAAAATTACTTCAATTGACATTAACCTTCTCTGTTTTGGCACTATTGGATAACACCAGTAAAAATCTATTACTAATAAATACCATTCAGCATGAAGTTTGAATAAATCCATAGCTACAATTTCCCATGGTCTCTGAGGAAAACTAGTTTCGCCATAACCTATTTGGCATGATAATTCCGTTTCCTCTGATTAACAAGCCATTCTGAATGGTGATTTCATATCTTAGAGGCCAAAAGGGTAGACATGATGGTACTATCTTGTTTTTCTCCAGACAACCACGAGAAGCACAACTGATCAACATCTTACATGCAGAGTCAGTTTCTTGTTCTACTTTTCTTTAAGAAAGTCTCTCTGAAGACATCGGAACAGATTCTATGACTTGATTATTAGAAGTTTCAACCTACTCTTCCAATTCTAAATTTGGAACTTTTTGTTGATGGGGTGCTCTAGATAGTGCATCTGCAACACAAAGATTTTGCCAGGAGTATGAAATGCGTCAAAAGAATATCTCATAAGCCTCATTTTGAGACTTTGGAGACGAGGTGTTAAATCAACCAAAAATTTTAAAGTTAGTATGGATAAGAGGTTTATGATTTATCTCCAAAAGGAACTTGGAACCAATTAGGTAGTTGGAAAAATTTTCAGATGCCGATGTAAGAGCAAGGGCTTCTTTTTCTATCTGGAAGTAACGTTGCTCAGTAGGAGTTAGTGTTCTGGATGCATAAGCTACTACCCCGATTGTAGAACCATGTTTCTCCCAATCCATATATAAAAGTGTCAGCTGTTAGAACTGATTGCTTATTTGGGTCAATAAAGATAAGTATAGGTTCAGATGACTAAAATTTTGTATGGTTTGTTAGTAGTAAGATAAATTTTGTGTTAAGACTAGAAGGTCATGGGTAGGCCAAGAACATTTTAGTTAATCATTACAATGTACTTACACTGGTGTGCAAAACTTAAGCAACAAGTGCATTTTTTGTCATAACTCTACAAGAAATCATCCGATTGACATGAAATTTGAATATGATGTTCCTTTTTTTCTACTTAAACGATGGTAAAAGAATAATGGCGCAGAAATGAATATAAAGCTTAAATTAAGGTATGGAACAAAAAAAGGCTTTATTTGACATATAGTGGCGTTACACATGATTGCCTGAAGAAGCGTAAGTACAACTGGAAGATGTTCCCTAGTATGGGATATGCTCTCCCCTTACTGTAATTGTTGCTCGGCATCGTCTCTCCATGCTAAGCACCAGATTATCCAGGAGTTCTTGGCGTAAACGTCCCCATTCCTCCTTTAACGCATCTTTCAGCTGATGGGTGTTACCAGGAGGATACTATCACGTCGCAAGACGTCTCCCTAATGCATCCCACATATGCTCTATGGGATTTAGATCTGGAGAGTAAGCTGGCCAATCCATTCGTGTGATATCTTCACTTTCCAGAAGCTCTTGAACATTAACAGTACGGTGTGGCTGGGCATTGTCATCCATAAAACTGAAGTCTGGTCCAATGGCCCCTCGGAACAGAGGGTAGGATTACTTCATTGCAGTAGCGGTCTCCAGTTACAGAACCTCGGTCGAAGATCTGAAGCTCAGTCCGCCCGTTCAACATAATGCTACCCCAGACGACAACTCCACGACCACCGTAACGATCTCTTTCCGCGATGTTATTGGGATGAAATCGAGCTCCAACCTCTCTCCAGATCAACTGATGTTGAGAATCGCTTGTAGCACTAAAACGACTCTCATCTGTGAAGAGGAAGCGACTCCATTGATGAGGTGTCCAGGTTTCGTGTTCTCTTCACCACTCTAAACGGTGTCGCCGATGGCTAAATTTTAAAGGTATGCAGCGTTCAGGACGTCTAGCAAATAACCACCTTTGTGGAGGCGTCTGGCCACTGTAAATCTTGATACTTGTCGTCCTGTGGCTGTGCACAGTTGCTGAGATATGGCGCTCGCTGACTGAAAACGGTTTCTTTTCACCTTGAGGACAATGTAACGGTCATCTCTTGGTGTTGTTTTCTTGGACGGCCACCACCAACCTTCCGAACAGCTGTACCAGTAGTTTTAAAGGCATTCCAAGCACGAGAAGCAACACTTTTGTTGATCCCGAACTCTTCGGCGACACTGGTCACACTACGCCCCTCCTCAAGCTTCCCAATCATTCTTCCTCGAGTAAAGTCGTCTAAATGATTTCTTGAAAACATGTTTCACAAAACAAATCACTTGCAGCGAATGTCTTTAACTACGGTGCTCTTCAAATTTTTATCACAGCTTTGACCTGCGTGCGCCGACCCACAAGGTTTACGTACACTTACATCACCTACGACGTTTTATTTCTAAAATTTGCATACAAATAATCTTTCTACTGAATTACGTGCATATTATACTGCAATTTCATGGCTATCTTATATTTTGTTGGGGAGCTGTGGCCGAAAAACCACTTGTTGCTTAAGTTTTGCATACCAGTGTAATTGGGGATAAACAAATAATATATGATAGTTAATATAAGAGCCTTAGCATTCTGCTGGAATAAAAATACTAAATATTTACTAAAGAAACACTTTTTCACAAAGTATATTTCTTTAGTTAAAAAAAACTAAACCTTATAAAGGAAAAGTATTAAAAAAGATTTAATAAAAGTGGAATTAAATAACAATCTTAATAAAAATGCAAAAAATTTTATTGATTAATAAAATACTAGATTTGTTATATTCTCATAAGAGTCAAATAATTGACAGATAAATACACATATTAAAACTAACAATTTTACAAATACATTTTTGTCATAAAAATAAAAAAATGTACTGATATGTTTATTACACTTGTTAAAACTAAGTAGACATAGTTTTAGTATATAAAATCGATATAAGAAATTGTTACACAATAAATACACAATCCTAAACAAAACCACAGATAATGAACACAAATATATGCTAAATTCATTTAAGTGCCCTGGATTATATAACATAATCAAATACAATAGCTATCAGTCACACATATATAAAGATATGAAACCATACTGTAAATTGTTTAGAAGTAAAAACAATTATCCATTCATTTAAATTCATTTAGATACCAGTAAAAGATTAAGTTCAGTAAAAAAGTAGAGGATTAATATAAATTTTTCTCAAAAATTATTAGACTAATGAATTCATTTTAGTATGTATGCAAGTAAAAGTTATATAAAGTAATTAGGGCAAGTATTGGCAATTTTTTCTTTAAAAAAATATACAAGTTCAATATCACCAATACAAACCACATGTTAACATTCCTTCATTTAGAATTAAAAACATGTTTTAAAGCAAAAATGTGCAATAATATTTAATATAAAATATACTACTTTAAAAAATATTAATATATTTTAGCCTAAATTTTTTAAAAAAAAATTTGGCGCACATTGACTATCAAAATAATTGCACTTTATATGAAAATTTCTTATTAAAAATACATTTAATTCCAATTTACTACAAATATAGACAAAACCTGAAATACTTCGATACTAAAATCCATATAATACTTTCCGACACATTCACAAGGCACACTTCAACAAATTTTTATGACTATCATGAAGGCACAAATGGAATTTAAACTATTGTTGAAGGAGCTTCATTCAAATTTTCATCTTGAAGAATAACCTAGAAGTAAAATCTGTTTTTAGTTCACATTTCTTAAATATAAATAATACTTTTAATTAAAATAGCTTAATCTTGAAAAATGTTTAGATTATTTTGTGCTATAAAACAAGGCTTTATTCTAATCAAAATCATATTCCACCTCAGATAAATGAGATGGGGAGATTTTGAGATATTTAGTCTTAAATTCTGATGAGTATTAATTTTTATATTTCGCCTGATTTGTGGTGCATTCTAATTGGCAGTAGATATAAACTGAAGTTGAACAATAAAATAAGATGGAGGGGAAGAGTAAAACAAGATAGAAATGACTTGTATGAACAAAGAGAGGGGCCTCCCTGGCCGCGCGGTATCGCCGGTCCAAACGCTCTGTTAAGCGTGGAGGTAGCGGGTTCGAATCCCGCTGTAATCCTGGATGTATTCTTTGTGATGTCTTTCTCTGAATTGTTCTATCTGTATTTTCTACTTGACAATGACTTATCAGCCTATATTGAGCACACAAGGCAGCAAATGTATGTAATTTCAATAAAATAAAATAACAAAGAGAATCTAACTCCATTTTTAATAAGAGTAGTTGAACTATTAATAATCAAATGAGGCCTTTAAATGAAATAATAACAGTTTGATAGTTAATAACTAAACAAATTAAGAAAAATGTGTGACTGTAACAGTAATTTAATTAGTCAATTTTTACAAATGCAGTAAATTTCTAGCTATTATGAATAATAACACAAAAGATGAAGTTATTTTAAGCTAATTTCCACAATATTGAAGTGTTTCAGTGTAGCAGAATGGTAGGAGTCATTGTCCTGGCAAGACAGAGATACCAAGTTCGATCCTTAGAGCTCCATGAAAATATAATATAAGCTTTTATTTATTATTTCTGTATCTTCTAGATTGTACTAACTCCTCATTTCCTGTTCAATTATTTAGTTCTATAAAAGATTAGGTGTTTCAAGTCAAAATGCTGGATGCTTTGCTCCCTATACATTTGAAGCTTTTTAATAAATTTCTTTTACTTTCTAGACTGCGTTAGATTAATTCTATGTGACATTATTTGGTGGAGGCGCCGGGTTTTGGATCAGAGCTGGCTGGCAATTTAAGAAGGAATCTAGGCTTAGATCCAGAATATCTAAAAACACTACACATTAGATATCCATCCAGCTTTTCTGTAGAATTGAATCAAGATCTTGGATAATGGCTGAAAGAATACGATCAAGTTGCTGAATATAACTGCTGGGATGGCACCATGTGTCTTGCTAACGCCCATTTTTTCCTCGCGAAACTGCACTTATGAATACTAGTACAATGCACAAGTTAGGTAAAATAACCAAAGAAAACTAAAACATGCCACACATGTTAAACTGAATATTAAAAAAATTACTTTAAGTATTTTTTGTTATAATTTCTGAAAAACAAAATAAAGTTACTCACTGTAAGGGAAGATATATCTTTAGAGACTGCATCTATTCTTTCACTTTCCTCCTGTAGAGATAATTTGCAGTTAGTAATTTTTTTGCAAAGATCAAAGGAAATATAATTTTACAAATACGGCTATAATGTTGTTTTTCAAACAACAATAACTAAAGAGAACTTAAGGATTATACCCATGGGTGTCTTAAAAAAAAGGCTAATTTTTTGAAGTTGATTTTTTGATTGTAGTGTAAGTAAAAACGTTAACACATATATTTTTACATTTTTCTTCATGTTTTGAATATTGCTGTATTTAAACAACTGCATTAGTTACTAAATAATAGTTAAAACTAGTCATTAAAGCAAAGGAGTTCTTCTATAATGATTCAATAAATAAAATGTAAACAATAGAACTAAAATATTTTCATCTAAAATTATTTTGTGATCAATACAATCCATTGTATGTAATAGTTTAGTCATTGCGGTGAATTTTAATAATAAAAATATTATAAATAAATGATAAAATATTAGTGTAGCCTAAACACTATGTAGTTGATTGACAGATATTATTAAGAGATGTTTATTAGCTTCTCATACTAAAGAGGAAACATACATAGTCATATTTATGGGTTTGAATTGTATTTTATAAAATATATGCTTACACTGATATTAAGAAGGTAAATTTAAATCCACTAAAGCTGAAAATAATATTGAAAATTTTTCAAAGCAAACTGGAAAAACTACTCTATTACAATGAAATTACTTGTATTTCAATGTGCCTTTGTTCTTGTGGAGAAGGATCACTATTACGTCGGACAACTAATTTATCCCCATCAGATTTAATGACTGGTGCATCAGTGCTGACTGGGACATCCATAGGACATACATACTCTTCATTTTCAAAATCAGATTTGTTGCGTTTTTTCTTTAATGCAAACTGTGGCTTACGAATGCTCTACAAAAAAAGTTTACAAAAATTGCATTAAATTAACATTAGTTTATATTAAAACATTCTTTAGCATGAGAAAAATTCACTTTACTACCTTAATTTTAACACTAGGAGAAAGAGGAGTTTCTGTTTCTTTCTCCCGTTTCAATTGCATTAATTCATCTCCTACTATATGCTTAAAATGTGTAGCAAGATGTCTTCGTAAAAGAGTTTTTGTGGGTGGAATGTTAAGAAGTGTGGCAAATAAGTTTGTATTAAATTTTAGTTCATATACCTGAAAAAATAATAGAGTATTATGAACAAGATAATGAGAAAATAATTAAAAAGAAGAAACATAAAAGGACACTTACTATAAGTGCACCATGAACTCCACTACCACGTAAGTTAGGAGCATACTCTGATAGATCCACAGTTCTCAACCATTCCATGACTCTGTGGTTACTCCATAAAGCTACAAGTTCAGGTGTGTAAGATTTGCTCTAGAAAGATTATATACATAAGTATTCAATGTCTTTATTTTAAAATTCTATAAGGAATGGTTTTAGTCTCATTTTTTAATTTCACTTAACAGTGATTTAATTTGAAATACTGCACTTAAGTTATAATAAATAACCACTTTTCAGGCATGTATTAGAACTACTTATGTAAAACAAAATTTCGTAGTAAATTATTGGAATAAAAAATATATATTCTAAAACATTGTACTTTAATTATGAGCCTTAAAAAGTTCTCATTATTTTTTAAAAGTGGTTACTGGAAAAAATGCGATTTTTACAGAGAATAATTGATAATTAACATTCGCTATTTTCTAAATTTTTTTACAATCATTATTCAAGACATTAAGTTGGTACTGTAATAAAAATGCAAAATGCCAATTTTTTAAACTTTAAAATAATGTTACTAATAAAGACAATTTATTAATAAATAAGATAAAAATAATTCACTTATGATTTGTTCTCCTATTTTTTGTTTCAATGATTTATAAATTATAAATCAAGTGAACAGAAAGATTAAAAATTTAATACATAAGTACATATCAGTTTTACAATTTCTTTACATAAGGTATGTTTATTATTGAGTCAAGGCTAGTATTTCAAAGAGTTAATCACTGATTTTTAAATGAAGATATCAAAGCTGTTTTTCTTTATATTGGAAATATTGATAAAGGAAAAACTTAAAAAATTCTAACAAGTCTAACAAGATAAAGAGGAAAATTTCATTCTAAGTTTGAAGAAAATATAGGTAGTACCACAAAATATTCACATTACTTCTGGTAGAGATAACAAAATAAACATTTGTGATGGCAGGTGGCAATCTTTCAATAATCAAGAATGATTTTATAAGCTAGCTTAAATTTTAAATTATCTTTTAACAGTCAGACTGAGGAACCAGGCAAATCAGCTCCCTTGTAGCTACAGTATCAAAGTTAAAGTATAAAAGCCTTAGAACATAGCGCAAGATTAATTACTGGTGATTTGTTTCAATAATGAGTTTTGCTATAAGTTAAGATAATCGTACGATACCTAATAAGACATATCGTATACAAAAGGGAATTAAGTAAAAAGATTTCTGATATCTGGTTGTCATGACAATGAATAAGAGTTTGTTACAATCTTGCATAGAAATAAAAAGTTAGCTGTTATGGAAAGAAAGGTTATAAAAATGGCATTTGACAACTGCTAATTTTGTGATATTGAATTAACTGTTTTGTTTACTGAGAAAAGAATTATGACTTATTAAATATGAAAATAAACTTAAGAATAAAATATCATTTGGTCATCAATGAAGAAATTTTTCTTAGTAATGTTTCCAAAATTAACAGCTTACTACTAGACATTAGCTTAATATTTTAACATTCTATTCTTTGTTGGTTAAATGACTTATCTTGCTTAACCAAGGAATACACTTTTGTTCAACCTCTTCATAATGGAGAATTTTTTCTTCATAGTTATAAGCAGTATCTTCACACATCAAGCAATTTCCACGAAGAAAAATGTCACCATGCGTATTGCGGTAGTAGTTTGTGTGTGACAAAATATTGCATCATATACAAACTAGTATTGCAATGGGCATGCCCAGTTAATAGGTTGAAAAAAATTATTGCAAGCTCTATGAAATATTATTGAAAATTAATTTGTTTACGAATGGAATGGATAGAAATATGTTATTATTAAGAATGATTTCTTATATAGAATTATGGCATCGCAAACTGCACAAAACATTAATGTATTTGGCTCTGGTGTTAATGTAGCAGACAGTGTAAATTTTTTTACTCAAATTTTGTACAGACAACTCTGATCTTACAAAGTTGCCACAAAATTAAATGTCACCATTCAGACTGATCCACCTCAGATGATCACAATAGAAATATACTAAATCAGTCAACAGATCAACTCTTATCTTACTGTATGACAACCTCAACATAATAATTTAGCACTGCATAAATGATTGCAGGAACACTACAAGAATTGGAATTAAAACTTTTCCAGCATCATTCATAGTCATCAGACTATGGGATTGAGTGTGTAGGTGCACTTGAAGTATCAGAAGGTTTTCAGGTTAAATATTAAGCATTTATTAACCACATCACAAAATAATAAGATTAATAAAGAGTTAGGACTGCACGTCTTTTTGCAGAGAAAGATGATGTGTTCAGTTTGGATCGCACCAGAGAAATGAATTAGCCACACCTTTAACGTGCAGTGATATGCTAGATTTAATTTGAGAAATTAGATTATTGGATTAAAATTTTGATAGACAGATTTTAGCTTGAGTTCCCAATTCTGGGTTTCAGTTTCAATTTAAAAGTTTCACTTAATGAAAAATGTGATTAACGGATAAAGAAAAGTGAAAGTAATTATGGTTCATTAGAGAACAAAGCCCCAAATAACTAACACTTCTTCCTCAATTCAGACAATTTTTTAATTAATTCCAACAATGCTCTAAAACCGGACTTCCAGGAATTTATTGACTCTCATCTGTCAAGGTTAGTATACTACTGGTTTGTACAACCTGCCACTTAAAAAACAAAAAATATAGACAATCACTTCATTATTTATTTAAAAGGTAGAATACACTATGCATTTGAACTGTAAATTGTTTCACAAATGGCAGTAGAATATTGATTTTCATAGGAGGAAATTCAGGAATAAATTTTTAATGCTACGATAAAAACTTCATTAATTAATCATACAAATTTGCTTCAATTACAATTGTCCAACACAAAAAGGCTCCATACACTTTGCATTTGAGATATGAATTTTCACAAATAGCTGTAAATGGCCAAGTTTTATAAAATGAAGCGTTGCTAAAATTTTCTTGTCCTAAGATACTTTTAACCAAGTTGGCACGTTTTTAAAACATATTTTCAACAAGTATTAAATTTTCAAAATGGTACCATAACCTTTGTTTACAAATAAGAAAATGTTAAACTTTACAGAGGGAAATGAGATTAAGTGCTTAGTTTTAAAAAAAAACTATTTAAAACCTAAATTTACAAATTTGCATCACAAAATTTAAAACTTTTAGAACAAAACTATTTTCTTGTCTCATATAAAGTGTAGACATTGTCTCATATAAGTTACAGAAAGTATAATACAAATTATATTAAAAATAATTAAGAGTAAAAACCATATTTACGGTTTCATCTGGTAGAGAACGTCTAATAAGACAATGAGGATCAAACCCTTTTTCACGTAACAGTTGAATGCCTCTTTTAATGCTGACATGGTGTAGTTGGCTAGTGACTTTTAAGAATAATAAGTCATCCTAAAGATTGAAATACAAATTTAGTTTACACAAATCTGTGACAGTTTAAGATTTTAAAAATGCAAAAGATAAAAAACTTCAAAATAAAAGGTTCATCAAAATTAGTATTTACTACTGTAAGACAATGTAACACTCTTCCATCAACTCTTGCATCTGCAAATGAATCTTTGTATTGAGGAAGACCAACATCATCTAGCCAACGCACTACCCACTGAAAATCTAAGTTATTTATAGTGGCAGGTGAATTACTAGAAGCAGATGACATGCTTTTAATTGCTAACAAAAGTTTTTTCCTGTGTAAAGGATTTTTTATGCTGAGTTCCTAAAAATAAAAAGGTCTCATAAAACCAGAGAAAATATTTCATGTTGAAACTTTTCATAGCATAGAAGAGACAAATAAAATATACAAACATTTATATTTCCTTTAATATAATTTGTTAAACATTATTAAAAATATAAAGTTTAACAGCGTGTTCGAAAACTAAAGATTAAAGGAAAATAAAATTTCTTGTTCAAAAAAATACATTATAATTGTATAAAATGTACTTCGAAGTGTTGGTAGACAGAAAAATACTATATGTGCCTCCACTGTAATGCTATTTATTTTAAAAAAAATTTATATAGAATAATTGATCTATTGAAAATTTGTCAAAATAATCTTTTGAAAAAGTATTATCCATTTAAAAAATATTTTGAAATAAATCATTTATATGTATATTTGAGAACATTATTTAAAAATATTAGTAGGTACTCATTTAAATGAGATAGATAAAGAATAATTTAAAATAAATTTAAACACATTAAGGTCTTTCTTAAAAAGTATAATATTTGGCATCTATGCAGACTACATTGCATTGTCCTGCTAATATATGAAATAAGAAGACTTCTTTAAGTTTCAATGGTGAAAATAGTGTTTTCCAAAACTTGTCAATAAATCTCTTTAATTTCCATCCCATTTCTTAAAACATTTCCTAACATTTACAATTTCGTTACATTTATATTTTTTGATAAATTAAATATTTTTGTTTTCACATAAAGTCAAGAAAAATTCGAAATTTTTAAATATTTTTTTAAGACTTTTATGTTATTCACATTTTTACAGCAGATAACTATAACATAATACAGATAAAAAGATAACTATTACATATAGGCGATATATTAAAAACACTTTTAAAACACACATTAAAATAATAAATACAAAATAGACCAAGAGATACACTTAAAGCAATATAAATATTAACAGAACTACAAATGCTGCAAATTAAAGGCTACAAGCTTTCATAATTTAAAAGGAAAAATACATATAAGAAAAATTACTTTATGAATAAAGAGAGATTATTTTTAAGTGTATACATTATTAGCATAAGAATTTTACTTTATGCAATTGTTAATATAACTTAATAATTTTTTTAATATCCATACAGCAAAAATCTAATATTCCTTATTATACTATTACTAAAAGATGATTTATAGAAAATTATCATAAGTACAATATCTTAGAAATTTAGAGTTTTTCTACTCACTTACTTTACATCATTTATACAATTTTAGTTAGGTAGTAAATAGGTCTGATGTAGTGGCAAGAGAGTCATATCATTTCTTTCACTAGACAATTTGATATAGTTCGTCATTATATTTAAAATAGTTTTGCTTTGATACTTTGCTACAAAGTTAAATATTCTCAAATTATATAATACAATACTAATGATTCTTATAGGTCTTATTTTATGGCTTATTTCAAGCTTTATTAATTTTTTTAGCTTTACAGTGATGTAAACAAAGAATTACTATTATTTGATTGCATCTTTACATAGTTGATTTTAAATAAAAACCAGGACTATTATTTAATAAAAATTACACAACAAAATTTAAATGCAAGATATAGTGAATGTGAAACAAACATGATTACTACAATGTTTACTTATATTGGGTAAAATAACTAAATTTTACTTACTTTTTCAAGATCATTGCCAGAAGCTTTAGAGAGCATATCCCCATTACACATCCATCGTCGACATTCACTAATATACATAGTAAGACCTAATCTGTTAAGCCAATCAACTATCATATCTGTATTCCAACGGTTAAAAGGTATCCTAATTCAATGACATAAAGTAGAAATCTTTAAAGGTATTATCAAAGATATAACACAGAGAATAATAGATTCAGAGATATAGAAAGTGGTATTTATGAATATATAATAAGAAATAGTTTACAAGTCTGAGCTATATGCCATTTTAACCATATGTCATCTTTAAGCAGAAGAGCTTTATCATATTTCTTAACATTCTTTCAGAAATACTAGTTAGAAGTTTTATACTTTATAACATTTTTAAAACAAAATTTTAATTTTTGAATAAATTGTTAATTAATATTTGGTAAAAAATCTCAAAAACAAAAGAAAATATTTTAACAAAAATTTTACCTAAATATTGCAAAATAAACTATTAAAAAATAAACTTTATAAGTATAAATTGCTTTAGTATAGATTGGTATCTAGCACTCCCAAAAATTTTTAATTTTGCTTTGTTTTATTTTTTATATTATTGTTAAAAGTTTCATATTCTTACTGTTTGGTGACGATACGTAGATAATAACACATCGGCTGATGAGTTCCCGGTCTAATGAAGTAAACACAACTTTTTTAGTAAAATTCAAATTTATTCATCAACATAGTCTCCTTTAAGAGATATACAATCACTCTATCGCCTCTTTAACATCTCTATACCTTTCTTTAAAAAAGAACCATCTTTGGCCTCAAAATAGGCGCTTGTTTCGGCAATTACTTCCTCAATCGTGCAGAATCTCTTACCCGCGAGCATTTTTTTCAAGTCTGCAACAAGTCGAAGTCAATAGGAGCCAAATCTGGTGAATAGGGTGGGTGCGGGTGAATAGGCGGTGTCTGACACAACGCCCAACAGCTCTCGGAATCATCAATTCGTTATTGTTTTTGGTCAACTGTTAGCACACATGGCACCCACTTCGACAACAGCTTTCTCATAAACAAACGTTCGTGCAAAATAAAGCCTACACGCTCTTTTGATATATTTAGAGTATCAGCTATGTCATGCAACTTCACTTTGCGGTTTTCTATAACAGGGTGGCCACTCAAATAAGATTTCAAATTTCCCTGATTTTTCCAGGTTTTCCAGATAAAAATCTTAAAATTTCCAGGTTTCAGTTTCTTTATTCTAATAAAGTGTAGGCAAGAAAAGTGTATATATTATAAAATATTTTATTCAAAATGTTATTTTTTTAACATATCTTGAAAAAAAATTTTTTTTTGACAATTTGGCAAGATTTTTTATTCATTTTTTAATGTTTTGGTACAAATTTTTGAATCAAAAATCATATATTGACTAACAAAAGAGTTAAATTAAATATTAGTTAGTTCTTATAAAAAATCTTTTTTCAAAATTAAAATATGTTATAAAAGGTTAAAATGAAATAGAAAAAATTAGCATTAATGCAACAATTGTAACAATTTGTCAATAAACATTGCTGTTAGCGATTGTAAAAAAAAATGTGTGATTGGTTGGTTTGCTGAGAAAAATAATTCACAGATTTCTTTTAATGGGAATACAAAAGCTTTCAGAAAAAGAGTGCAATATAAAATCTATTATTATTATTAAACTATAACCAACTAATTTTTGGAGAATTTTATAAAGTTAAAAATACAAAAACATTTTGTCAAAATGGAAAAAAATTCCCACAAAATCATTGGAACAAACTCAAGCCATAAATGGATTCAGCCCAAGGACAGAATTTAAAAACAGAAGCTAATATCCTAATCCCTTCTTCCACTTCCACCACAATCTTTCCTAAATTGAACAGTCCATAGCGGTCAAAGGTTTCCACATTCGCTTAGCAACAGTGGGAGAATTTTATGTGGCATTCTAGTTTAACAGAGCAGTAATGGAGCAAATTTTGATGCAAGCAAAGTATTGCTAAGTTGTTGATATTTCAACTGCTTGGAGATACATTTCCGTCTAAAAAAAGTGGGTATAATGGATGAAATAATTTAAATTAAGAAAATTAGCAAATAATTTATATTAATGAAATTAAAAAAAAATTTCCAGCTTTTCTTTAAAATTCCCTGATTTTTCCAGGTTTTTATCCAAATTTCCCAGAATTTTAAGGGTTTTTTCCAGTATAAAAAAAATTCCCTGATAATTCCAGGTTTTCAAGGTGGGTGGCCACCCTGTATAACAATTTTGTGGACTTTTATTATGTTTTCTAGATTAACCACATCTTTAGGGCGTGCAGAGCATGGCACATCTTCAACATTTGTAAGACCACGTTTAAAATCAGCAAACCAGTCAATAATGGTCGATTTTCCTGGTGAAGAACCCGGATAACACTTATCGAGCCAAGCTTTAGTTTCTACCGTGTTTTTTTCCATTAAATAACAATGTTTAATAAGAACACGAAATTCTTTTTCATCCATTGCTTCAATAGTATAAATTTATAAATTGGTGTTCGATTAAAATCACTGTGACTTTAAAATCAATTGGCAGATCGTTATAAAATTTTGACACCTTTTATTTGAAGGTTAATACTTGCTAAACAAAATACTAATTCTGCATTTAGGGAGCCATCTGTATGTCAGACCGGAAACTTATCAGTCGATGTGTTAGATAGATAATAACTAAAATAACTGCAAGTGTTTATAATTAGATGATTTATATGTCAAGGAGTTGAGATTTGGGCTAAGAAGACTCGGAAATTAGTTCTCTCTGATGAAAATAGTAACTTAATTGACACATCTTGAAGTGTTAAATAAAATAAATAAGGAAAAAATAAACTTTAATAGATATTTCAATCACATTACAGAAGAGGAGCTTACTCTGGTTCTTGTGCCACCTCTCTTGTCCAACCTAATCGTGGGCCTGCAGTAGCTCGGATACCACCTCGTTTGAAGTCTCCTTCTAACCTATCAATATTTTGAGATCCGCTTTTTTTCCACCTAAATAGAAATAACTGTTACAACATCAGCATTTTAAGAAAATGTAAGAAAAAAGTTTACTAAAAATATACTTTGAAAATAGTTTGAAGAGTCCCTTGTTCTTATCCTTATCTGATTTTATAATGCAAGGCTGAGGTGTAAGAGGAGCAATGTAATCGCCATTTTCTTTTTCTGTTGAAGGAATAGTAACACATTCTTCAGATGCTGAAACCATCAGGTATGTATCTGAGTAACTTCATATCAAAGCTTACTGCATTAGCAATAGCACAAAATATAAAAAAGGATGCAGAGATTGCATTGTTCTTATTAGTATAAGCAAATAACATTCTGAAGTAAATATTAGAAGCAGTGCTTTTTAATTTTTAATCACATATTTGCTAACAAATACATTTCTTAATATAAATTTTACAATACAGAAAACATGCTGAATTTCTCAGAATTTCATTAATCAAATTAATATTTGTTCCACAGCTTATTTTAAGAATTTTGTTCAGACTTAAATTATGTACATTTTCATTTATAGTCTAAAAGTTTCTAGGAGAAAAGGTTCCAAGGGGATGTTATGGAGTTTAAACACTCATGATTTTCGAAAAAAAAAATGAAATTAATTTTATTAAATTTTTTATTCTAAAAAAATAGAATACATTTTCAATTATCTTTCTACCAAAGTTTAATATATTTCTTAGCTTAATTCTATTGCTGTATACTTTTACATTAGATCTTAAATTAAGAATGAATGATACTGCAAAATTACATATTAGAAAATAATTCCTTTAACTCTCCAGGTGTTACAATTCCATGTCAGCAAAATTGTACAAAATTTTCCCTGTTATACACTGATTACTAATACAACATGAAGAAAACCATTCTATTTGCTACCAGCTTAAAATTTGGCAGAAATCAGAACTAACACACAGTTGTCAAAAGAAAAAATCATCATGTCATTGTTTTAACTAAAAATTCAATAAATAACCATGCATGATTTAGACTAAGTAATAAAACTTTTATTTATAAATAAATTTTTTATTATAAGTAAGATTAATTTTCTAGAAAGTCTAGATTTTCTAGATTTTCTAGAACTACCAAATTGTATTGTGTTTTAAAAATTAACATTTTTTATTCTGTTCAGAGAAAAAATTCAGGTTAAGTAAACCATTCCCATTCAAAAATGTATTGTGTTTTAAAAATTTACATTTTTTATTCTGTTCAGAGAAAAAATTCAGGTCAAGTAAACCATTCCTATTTAAAAAAATCCAGAGTACACAATCGTTTAGAAACTAAATGTGAGCTTAATGACTACTGAAGGTCCTTATGATTAGCAAAGGAGTTACAATATTAAAAAAAAAATATGAGTTGGGGTCATGGAGGTTAAGGCCACACAATTTAGAGACCAATTGTATGATTGTGATAATGTGATCAAACAGGCAGCCTTTACTTTCCAGATAAGCTAGCACTCATTGACCAGAAGCTGGCTGGGCTTCAAACCGCTACTGAGGATCAAACCCCAGTAATTTGAAATGACAGCACAATGCCTTTAACCACAGATCTAGCCAGAGCCATTGCTTTTATTGAAATGATATAATAAATAAGTAATATGATGAATTCATCTAAAAAAATAATAAATTTAGAATAGTAGTTAGAATTAACAGTACCTAGGCTTAGAAATTCAATAACTGTATTTTTAGAAAAAATACGTTATTAGAGTTAAATTCATTATTGTAACAATTTTTTGCAATACACAATTTTTTCACCTTAAGATTTCAATTTTTTAATAGAAAGTTCTAATTAGCATATTTAGAATTATAATTTGTTAATAGTTTCCTGATCTTATGCTTAAAAAACTGTTAGCAAGATTTATATCAGCTGGTGTAGCCTATCTGGCGATTTAATTTTCCACGGCTTAGCGAGAGAGCTTAATAGCGTGGTTAAGCTTAAATAGCATTCATTTAGTTTCAATTCATTGCTTGTAGATTTAAAAAAAAAAACTTTTTTGAACAAAATAGCAGCACATGTTATAAAAGGTCCTGAAAGTTAGTATTTAATAATTAATCAATCAAATACTACGATTGCATCAGTTGGATACATGCTTCAAAATTAACACATGAACTGGAATGAAATTGAAGGTGATATCTTGTTTGCAAGAATGAGATATGCTACTTAAAGGTCATGAAATCTTATTTCATCATACATGCATCTATAGAAAAAGTAATATAATTTTTTTATTTAGATTAAAATTTTTGAAACAGTCTTCTCCCATGAGTATATTGTTAAAATATTTAAAATTAGTTGCAGTGTTCTGTACTTAATTCAAGTTCTTCATTTTTAAGAGTGAGAGTTAGAAAGAAAAATAATAAAAATATACTACTGTAACAACAAAAACAGTAGTGATTATTTTTCATGTAAACAAACCATACAAAAAAATTATAATAATTCGAAAATTATAAATAAAACTAGGAAATTGTTGATGTAAGCTAATAAATAATTAAGCAGCCAAAAGAAAAATAGACAAGGTTAATTTAGCAGTTATTACAGCTATATCTGCGGTTAAGGCTGAAGATGAGCAGCATGCATTTTAGAAGCAAGCAACCTGCTATACATTAGAAACAAAACCATCACCTAGATAAGGTTCACTTGAACTTCGCTTTCCAGATTTTAATTTAAAAAAGCCTTTACCGAACGATACCCCAGAGCTCTTCGAGGTGCCACTACCAGATTTTCGGCCTCTGTTGGAAGATTTTGAGCTTGTTTCATGCACTGACGAAACTGTTGAATCATCTTTTTCTCTTTCAGATGATTTATTCAGTGGATTTATTTGGTAGGTCAATGGTGGTAAGTCAACTTCATGTAAATGAGATTGAATATCTTGCAAGACATTAGGACTTGTTTGACGAGGTAAAGTATCATATTGATTAACATATGGAAAATTCTGAAAAGGTTACAAGAAATAATTAATAGAAGCCCTGGAGATAGTAAACAATGAGTTTATCTTTCAGAAATTTTAGAATTTTCTTTTGTGAAAGTAATGTGCACAAATGTGTTTGTTTTGTTAATGTAGGTATATTATAGATAGTGTAAGTAGACAATATTATTTCAGTTCAAGATTTTTTTAAGTAGCAGAAGAAAAATACATAAAATTAGTCTACATTCATGGAAACCTAAGATTTAATTATTGTTCGACATAAATTAAAAAGTAAGGGAAAAAAAGAGCAATATCTGTGAAATCCAATTCTTTACATTTATTACTTCTCATATATACTTATATTTAAATTTAGGAAAATGCTAGATAAAGGAAAAAATTGAACCAGCAATTCTGCTAATGCATTATTGCATGTCAAATATGCCAAAATCATAAATGAGATAAAAAAACAATTATGAGGTGTCCTTTTGGACATGTAATCATCCATGGGGGAAGGGGGTTAAATCCCCCCCCCCCCCATCTTGCATTATACAAAGAGGAAGGATATCAAATTAGGTCACCACTTTTACTTGGTGCAGGTGTTATATCATATGTAATTCAAAGCTTTAATTGTTCTAGAATTTTTGTTTTGAATGTCTTTGTTTTATTTATCAATAAAAAAAAGTTATAAATGTAAATATTAACAGATGGAAGCAGATAATTTATCACCTACTTAATATACACATATAGTTTTTTTTCCTTGCTTTATTTTGGAGGTTTTTCAATTTCTTTTCTACATTCTGTTATAAATTTTAAACATCGTTTGAAGTGCAAGTTTATATTTCAGTTAGAATTGTATAATTTTCAAAAATTTAGAATGTTTCAAACTTAATTCACATAGTATTTTGTTTACTTTAAAAAAAATTTCTTTTATGTTCAATAATTTGAAAAGCTAAACACAATTAAAATTAAGATTATTTCTAATTTTTTTTACAGTATAAAATTACATGCATTTATTATTAGGTAACATTGAATTATTAACATTGTTTTCAGAGCATTTTGAAAAATTGACATTACAATAAACATATGTGGAAACAAAACTGCAGTTAACTTTATAAAAATATATTTCACAATAGGTTACTTACCGTTGTAGAACTAATGTTCTCTAAACTATTAGACTTGTGAAATGAAGATGAGATGGGAGAGAGGCATGACACATTTGCTGAATTTAAAGTCTGGGATTGACCTGATTGATTAATATGCTTTGGAATAGAAGAAGTTGAAGGCAATGTAGAGTATTTTCCAGCATTTAAGTTATTGATATCATTCAAATGTTTCTAGAAGAACATTTTTTATTTAAGGAATGAAACATTGTTTAATGAAATAAATATGATCAAGAGCAAAATAGTTTCTTACTTTATAGCTGTCATTACTAAGTGAGCATAATATGGAATCAGGATAAAGTCCATGGGTTTCATGTGATGAAATATCAGCAACTGTAAATTAAAGAATAATTAAAAAATCTACTTCTTAAATATAGAGAAATTTTAAAAATAGAAATACTTCGAAGGTAGTTAAAGCAGTCTCTTTTAACAAATTCTAATGATATTCTAACTTTATTATTATTTATAGAACACATTAAAAATCATATTGATAAATTTTTAGAAGAAATATTATTTAAAATAAGCAAACCTTTTCTAGTATGACCAGAAAGCACAATATCTTGCAATTTTTTGTATTTTGTCAATGATGAGCGCAAGTCATCTAATTTTTGGTCCTATAAAATATACATTACAAGACTCATAGTATAAACATAATACAAAGAAACATAAATAACATAAAAAAAGTTACTTAAAATTGCTTTAATATTTTACAAATGAACGTGGTTTATATCACATTATGTTTATATCTGTTTTAGAGTGGGAATTCAAATGGACTTTTGTCGCACACACTTTTCATCAAGCTGTAAGATAATTTCACCCATTCCAAGAGTAAAAATATACATTTATTTAGATATCGAACAAGTTTTCAATACTTTACACATTAAATAATAAAAAACTTGAATGTATTGATAAATTTCAAACCTTGACCAAAAGAAGTTTTCATATTCATAAACTAAATATTTTACAGCTAAATAAAATGAAGGACAATTCCTAAAAGTTCAATGAGCATGCATAGGTGGGTAACAGAGAAAAAAAAAATTACTGGAAAATACAGCCCATGATGAAAATAATACATAAAGTAAAATTATATCGATATAACTGATAGCAAAAAAAAAAAAAAAACTTCATAAATTTAACATTTTGAAATAAATCATGTTATATTTTAGATGAAAATAAAAATTATAGTTAAAAATCTAGTGTCCAATATGCTTTACCTCTGTCTTAAAAAATATATATAAATAGCATAAACATGTTTGAGGTCATTAAATTATTTAAAAGGTAGTACTCTGATTTGTCCATAGGGATCATCAATAAAATATGCTTTTTAAAATAGCATAAAAATCAAACCTGACAAAATAACATTTTCTTACATTTTTTATGTTGTTCTTCCTGTAGTGAATATTCCACTTTGCCCTATTTGGCCAGAAAATTCAAAGATATTCATGTCTATTTTTATTAAATTTTAATTACAATATTATTTCAAACATAAATTTACTTTTGAAATAAAAATTTTAATACAAAAAATATTTTTTTAATATATATTTTGGAATTATAAAATCTAGCACATACCACTAATTATGAAGGAAAAAAAATGCAAACAAAACATATACATTGTTAAGATTTAAATGTATGAACTTTACTTTAGATATTGAAAACACTTTAAATTTGATAAATAAATGAATCTAGTACTAATTACAAATTTGATATTTTAAAAGATCCATCATTTGGTATATACATATATATATATATCACACTATCATCAGTATGAAGAATGTTTATAGAATTTCTGGAATGCTCCAGTCAAAAGAATGGTTAATGCTTCCAATAGGAAACAGTTTAAAAACAAACAAAAACACTTTTAAGTCTAAAGTCTGTTATCTGACCAGACAATAAAAAAACTTATTAAAAAATCTAATGACATTCTGGTACAACTCATGACAGATTTTTTTTTGATTATTCGTTTAGAGCATATATCTGTTATAAACTACGTTATTGAAAAATAAATTAATGAATCATATTTTTAAAAAAATATACAGATCTCAATTTGGTAAGAAAAAAGTTAAGCTAATTTTAAAAAAATCATTAAAAAATACAAGGCATATTACTAAGTAATGCACATAATCTGAAATGAAAAATAAAATAGAAAGAACAGCTTTAACCAAGAGGAAACATAAATGAATATATTGCTAATTTCGTGCTTTTTTGCATGACTGCCATGCCAGTTGAAGTATTTGTTGCAAAAATAGATCAATTTAAAAATTCTGGTCTTCCAGTGTTTCGTTCTAATACAACTATTTTTATACCCAGCAAATTTTAATGTACCCTAGCTTCTCTTGAATAATGTTCCATGAAGATTCATATAAAATTTTCCAATATCATTTTATTTCATTCACAAATGCACAGATTGAAGACGCTGGACTTCTAGATCAAACTTTTTTGACTAAACTCATCCACTCATTTTAAGTTTTACTTTTTCCCACTTTAAAAATTGAGATGTGCATTACTTATTGATACAAGGCTGGCAAGTTTCTGCCGTGGTGGTTACAACCACTGGTAGAAACCGGTTAAAACTGGTATGGCAGAAACCCTTTTCAGCAACATTTGTGGCAGAAACTGGCAGAAATTCAGAAAATGACATAAAAGTACTGAGATAGACATACAATAGATAATTCATAGAAAAAACAATTAAATGTTAAACAAAGTACAATTTATTTACAAAATTATCACTATTTAAAACAAATATTGCATTGCTTGCACTCTGCAGTAATCTATAACAAAAGACAAGTTTTGATGCAGTTTCTCTTACATACAGCAAAGATTAAAACCGTTACTATTATAATAATTGAATTGTTGGAATGCAAATTATGTCTTGAAAAGAAAAAAAAAACTATTTATAAAAGCTCTATTCAGTTATGTTAAGAGTTAAATGATAATAATTACTGAATTTCAGAGTTTAATAAAATAAACTAAAATCTAGTATTTATATTTATTATTACATCACTTTATTCTTTATCTTATATAAATATTTGATATACTGCACTTTTTATATTTAATATAAACAAAATAATATATATTTACAAACAATGAATTAAAAAGTTTGTTACAGTTACATGGAGTTAAATTTTTCAGTTTACTTAAACAAAATGTCATTAAGCCATTACTAGAACTGATATAGACATTTTTTAGTTTCTGCCAGTTCTTGCCGGTTTCTGCCACGGGCATGGCAAAAACCAGTTTCGGCCTACAAAAAGCCAACCCTGTATTGATATGTCCTCATATTAGCACATTTAATATGAAATATTTCTAATAAACATAAACTTTAAAAATACCTTTTCTTCATTTGATACATTTATGGAATCAAGAACAGTCTTGTATTTCTTGTTATCACTAACTAAAAAAAAATTATGCAAAATGTTACACAAAAATAATTTTATTCAGACATTATTTGAAAAGGACTAGACTGTATTTAAGTCTGACATTAAATTTTATTAATAAGGCAAAAAAAATTTAATCCAAAATAAATTTACATCACAGCCCATGAAATGTATGTTGAACAAGAAAATTAAATTTTAGAATAGGAAGGGTTTAAATTAATTTAGCAGTAAAAACATAAGGCCTCGAAAAAATCTTAAACTTTTTACATGATTTGTTAGGCACTTTATTAAGAGATATATAGATTATAAGATTATATGTCCAAATGATACTTTGACAAACCTAAACATCTATTTTAAATGCATATTAATAAAAAATATATTAGTGTGTCTATTATCAAATAACTAGCAAAAAATGACATTAGCAACAACATAACTTTCAATTTTAAGTATAAATTAAAAGTATTATTAATAAGGAAGGCAAGTGTCAGTCAGAGTGAAAAAACTGCAGTGGGAGAAAAATGTTTTTTTTCAAGCACAAGTGGAAGAAACTCATTTTCATAAAGAACTGTTATTAAAATAATTTTTTAAAAATAATCAAACATTTCAATATAGTTTAAGTAACAGTATTAATTTTGAAGCAATTTAATACTTATTTTTTAAACAAATAAAAATTGAAAAAGCAGTTTCAAAGAAAAATAAATTTAATAAATTTCTTAAGAAATCAGAACATTTAATAGCTTCTTTCAATGTTTAAAAGTAAAGTAGTTAGAATTGTATAACAAACTATTAAAGTATCATAATCATATTTTTAAAATACAATTGAATTAACAAATTACACAATAATTATAATCACAACTTCAAATAACATATGGCATTCACAATTACAAATAGCATATTAATTTTCACAATAAAATAATATGAATACTCAAGTATGAATGAAATAGTATGAATATTCAAGACAGCTCTCAGGTAATATGTTAAAGGTATTTCCAAATTATTTTTAGTGCATATCTTATTTTTATATATGTCATCACAAAATTATTAGTTTAATTTTTGGAAAAAAAACTAAATTTTCAATTGAGAATTTTTTTTACAATCAATCTTGATTTATAAATTAATTTAGAATTATACAAAATTTAATACCACATTATAAACAATTCAATAAAGTATCATATGCAGTTTAATAAAAAGTTGTATACAATTAAAAAATTTTATAAAGCTTTTTCAACATTTTTAACTGGAAGTGTACTTTGAAATATAAGGTTTTCATAATTGAAAACCTTAAAAGATAAAGACTTATGAATTTCGAAAAAGATAAAGCCTTATGAATTTTCAATAGTGTAACATTTTATAACAAAGTAATTTGTTCATTCTTTACATTTTGATAACTTAAGTGTAAAATATTAGTTATTATTTTATTATTAAATTTTACAGTTTAAGAAATTATTGCATTATGGGAGGTATTCAAAGCGAAATTAATTTCCAAATTTACTATGAATCAATATTCAAAGAAAGTAATAGGTGAAATAATTTTTTAAATTAGCATTTTTAAATTAATATTTTGCAAAGAAATATTTCTTTTTTTTTAAATAACCCTATCCTTAAATTAAAATACTACTCAGAAAACTATAAATAATATTTGTACAAATAATTTAGATATAAATGTATACATTTATTTAGGAAAATACAGATAACTAAAACCGAAATAAAATGTAAACTACTAAAAAAAAATTAAAATTTTGTATAAAACTACATTAAATAATACAAAAATAATCAATTTTATAAAAATATCCTAAAGTTTGACTTTTTTAACAAAAAAACACAAGCTTTTCAAAATAAATAAATAAATATTTGAGTGTAACTTTTATTGGTAAACACAAATTAATAAATAGGTATGAAGTACAAAAAAGAGCTTAAATGCACAATGGCAACTGTTCAAGATTTGACAAGAGCAAAAAGAGAAAGGATTTCTTAGTTTTTAAAAATTTGTTACATACATGATATTAAGGAACATTAAATTTTAGAGCAAAAAATACAATGAATGTACATGCAATTTAAAATATTTTTTCAATGCTTTTGAATTTTAATATTATGATTTTCAATTGCAATATACAAATCTAAAAAACATAAATTTTAAACACAATTACTACTTACTGTCATCAATAGAGATAGTGGGTCCATTTTTTGGTATTCTTCCTTTTAAAAGAGCATACTCAGTCTCTAATTCAATAAGACGTGCCTTAGTAGCATAAATTTCACTCTAAAACCAAAACATACATTTACAAATGTATACAGAATTGTAATTAAAAATTAAATGAAGATCTAAAATTTAAGCAAACAAAACAGACATTTTTTAAAATTAAATTCAAATCAGTAAAAATTACCCAAACCTGATTTAGTATTGAAATAAAAATAAAGTTAATACCATTGCATCTGACTTCATAAAAGCTATTCTGAAGGCCAAATTCTGAGAAACTTTTAAAATCCAAATGAAACATACCAATCAAAAGATATTTTTCAAAAAATTAGACACTTTTTATTTATTATCTATAAAACAATCTAAAATAATGTGATATTTTGAGCTCCATTTGGTACTAAATATTACAACATATTTACTCAACAGCAATATAGTCCAAGCTGTATCATGGCCTAACAATAACTCAAAGACATATTAGAGACATGGCATATTAAGACAGTTTTAGCTGTTATCTCTATGGCTTAAAATGAAGTAATTGAGAAAAAATATTCATTTTCAAAGCATAAAGCTCATCGCTACAACTGCCAAAGTTTGTCTCACATCTAAAATCTCCCAACCCCAATTTAAACAATAAAGTGAAACTTAGCGACAGAATTAACATTGGATACACTATATTGAATCAAATACATTGAAATTGAAAAATATGACGCGAACATTTAATCGTAAAATGGTCCACTGGACAAAAATAATACCCCAAAAATTTTTTTTGCAAAAATTGCTGCATTCTTTCATGATACTCATACTTGGCATCTGTTTTTTTCAACTGGAAATAGAGTCTTCCAGCTAGACAATGCCTAAATTCACTAGGCTTATACTCTGTTGGAGTGGTTCAGAGAGTATAATGATGAATTCCAATCAATAAGCACAATTAGGAAGTTATAGAAAAGCAGCTCAGAAATAAAATACCACCATGCCAGAATATCTCGACTTAGCATGACCGCTGCTTAGACATTTGGTACAATCTGTCTCCAGTTATCTAGCACAAACTTGCAATATCCGCTCCAAGGAAAGTTGCAGTTTTTTTAAGGAAAAGGTGGTATAACATGATATTGAGTAGGTGGTTATAGTGATTTGGCTCTTTAGTATAAGTTCCTTTAGAATTTATTGCAACAAGAATGGTGAATATTAATAATGCAGAAATTATTATTTCTTAGTGGTAGAAGAACATAGCTGAAACTTTTAAAAGTGTTTTAAATTAAATGGAATATTTATTAATAGTTACTTAAATTAATTTGTTGTTGTAGTTACTTTAGGTCGCACTAGAGCTGCACAATGGGCTATTGGCGACGGTCTGGGAAACATCCCTGAGGATGATCCGAAGACAAGCCATCACAATTTTGATCCTCTGCAGAGGGGATGGCAGCCCTGCTGCTGTAGCCCAACGACCTGCACGCGAAGTCGAGCACTTTACGGTAGAACAGTTTAACGAGGACCAATACCGCACACCCTCGGTCCCTACGCAGACTGATGCAAGTAGTCACCCACCCGTACACTGACCGCAGCCAGTGATGCTTGACTTCGGTGATCTGCTGCAAACTGTGTCTTAACGATCAGTCCACTGCGGGACGCTACTTAAATTAAGGAATTTAATTTGGTTGAAGGAGAAAGAAGAGAACTGCATCAGAAAATAAATTAGTAAACTAAAATGCACAGATTAAAGTTTAATGTTGGAGAACAAGTTCACTACTAACAAATTCATAATATGTAAATAAGATAAATAAAAAAAATATTATAAAATACATTAAACTGAAATATACATACAGCATATAACATTAAATGCATTTAAAATATTAGAACACATTCCTAAAGATATTGAAACAAATAAAAACTATGTATAAATTGTATCTTAGGACATATCTCAAGGTACAGCATGCTTTGCTTTCCTATCGTAAAATCATCAACTTTAAATAAAATAAAAATTGTAAATTTAAATGAACTATAATTTTCTCTCATAACTAAAACATTAAAAATCTCTTTAATCTCTAAATGAAATTCAGCTGAATAGTTTCATAATTCATAATCAGAAAATGAAAATTAATTTTAATTAAAGTAATTTTCTCTCTTTCATTCTAAGAGATTATTTTTCTTTCTTTAATACATTAGTTCATTCCACTGGGTGCAAATTTTGCTCTGCTGTTATTGATTATTTAAGGTCATAATAAGATATAAAAATAATTCTAAAGTTGTTAATGTCCCAAGGCACAAAACTCCTCCTATAAAATTTTTAAAATTTACTAGTTTAAGAATATGAGAGATAATTATTTTAAGATTAAAAATCAGGCTTAAAAATTAAAGTAACAATTGCTATATTTAAATTTTTATAACCATTTTAAAGCAATATAAAAAAAACTTTTCTTTAAAAAACACAATAAAAACAAACTAAAAATTACTTCTAATTTTCTGCATTTTTCATCACTCTCTTTACGGTCTCTTTCAGCAGCAGTAAGCCTTAATCTCAGATTAGAAAGTTCAGTAATTAGTTCAAGTTTGCTATTTTCAACAGCAGATCGAGCTAAGACTTCCTGAAACATAGTTAAAAAAAAGTTAGGATATTATTCTTAGTAAAGTAAATATACAAGAGCTTACATGTAGCCTTCAAATTTGTTTCTGCTGAATTTCTTTTGAATTTTCTCTTTTCAAGAAATATTTTTGATTTTATTTAATGTTTTGTTTTAAAATCTTGCATTGAAATTTAGTTGGCTCACTAAAATACAACTTCTATCCACAGAATACTTAATATTTATGAGTTTTACATTACATTTACATTTGAATATATTTCTGCAACATATATCAATTAATATGATGTGTGAGTTTAGAATTTCTCATTTGATAATCAATTTAAGAAGGCTTTTTGGATTTCATCTAAACCTTGTATAAGCAATGTTTTTATACTTTCTTACAAAACTCAAATGCTGTTTAAAAATATCCTAATTCCAAAAATGAAAATTTATCAACAATATGAATAAATCTGTTATTTTTGTGACCAAAACACATTAAATTTTTTTAACTTACATTAATTACACTTTTAAATTACATTACTTTGTTTAATTTTTAACTTCAATTTTGCATGCTTATTATTTACGAATGCTTTTACATTTAATACATACATAACAGTAATTATAAAATCTCAATGAGCTTTAAATTATTATTATTATTTTTAAAAGTAAAAATAAACACTGAAGTTTTAGATTTTAAAAAATTTCTTTCGACACTCATATAAAAGTTTAACATTCTTTTTCGACATACAACGAGAAATGATACATATTATTTTACTGCTAAACTTGTTTTTGAATCATCAAGTGTCTAAAAAAGCAAAGCATAAATAAGTTTAATTTATCTTGATAAATTACTGAGTAATATATTGCTGTCTTTCTGTAAATATATAACATATATAAAGTCTGCATTAAGGACTTAATTATTAGCAGTAAATTAGCCAAGTATCAAAAGTATTAGCCAAAATTTCAAAAGTATTAGCCACAGGCAAATCTTAACAATTTTTTATGATTATTTTTTTCCCATTGAAAACTTCAAATCAAAATACATATTTACTTTAAATTTACAATTTTATAAATACTACACAACTATTTTATAACTACTATTTCATAACTTTTACCATTTTATAAAATTAAAACTACAGTCATTTTACAGTTAGGGAGGAGTAAATGATCAATGAATGGGAGGTAGGATGAAAAATGTAGAGATGTTTTCCGATATTTGAGAAAAATAAATAAGAATAGGTTGTGGTTAATTTTTAATAACTTCTAAGACTTGATCAGTAATATAGGGAGAAACCTAAAAGAACATTTTGTGTTTATTAGATTACAAATCTCTTTTAAATACATATAAATTTTAAATAAAACGTTTCATTCAAGTCTTATTTTTCAATATAAGAATTTTAATTGTCTCGCTTATATTTTATTGTCGTGATGTAATAATTAAAAAAAAAAAAAACAGAGTCGTTGTAGGATATATGTTATTTGAATAATTTAATTCTGATTTATGGTTCTTTTTACTAGGCACAGAAATTTTTTTAATCGAAATTTAGACGGGAGTTTACCACGTTCATTGCCAGTCAAGTGCAGGTGGTTTTACTGTATTTATCATTGAAAAGTGATAATCTATAAAGATAAAATCAAAGTCAAATTTTCTTATTTTATCAACTATTTCAGTTTTGAAATTTTGCAATAAGTTTATTTTAGTAAACAAAGTATTATTGTCACAAGAAAACATATTTTCTGAAAAAAAATAGTAGGATCATAATATGCATCTTGCTACTACTTAATTGACACAAATAGTACAAAGAAGTTTCGTTCAGCAATAGCGTGTCTCAAATTCGAACATGCTAATCTAAATTTTACGGGTTTTTTATGCTTACATAATCTCTCTTGTTGCTTCGATGATCTGGGCTTCATATAATTCTAATTAGTTATGTGATGTATCTAACCCAAATTACTGTAATAGAACAAAATTAGAAGATTTGTTCAGAAAAAATTCATATTTACGTAATTTTCAGGATCAAGGGAAATCTATCTTTCTTTTGCTGATCTAAAAAGTCGTTCCCCAATATCTTCGTCAAAACGTAGTTTGTTTCGCAGAATGTACGTTTTTATTGCATTTGGCGAGGTGGTGAATGCTTAGTAGTTTATAATATCTAAAAATATATTTCATTTGCTTCCCCCCGCCCTTCTAAAAATTAACTACAAAAATAAAAAAGCATTCATACTTGGTGCAAATTATGCTCCAGTTGATTTAAATCATCCTTTTTTTGACTCAGAGCTCTTTCAAGCTCGCTTATTTTATCAGCTTGGGCTTCAACTTGGTCTGCTAAAACACTAGCCTAAACAATAACAAAACAAATTTAGTAATACATGGAGTGTTTAAAAGCTGACATATTATAATAATAACTAACAAATTGTTATAAAAATAATCTGATGCACATGCCTGTAATATTAAATTTTTTTTGTCACTTTCGAGTTCTTGAACCTTGTGTAAATTATTTACATCTTCTGATTGCAGAGGAACCTGAAGAAGAAAAATACAAACATGAATTGTACTCATACCTATTGTAAATATTTTCATATACTATATGCCTAATACTAGATTACGTAGCTAGCTCAACAAAAGATTATTTCAATTGGAGCAAGGCCTTAATTTTATGTTTTCTTCTTCATCTATTAGATCTGAAGTTTCAGTTACTATATCAAAATAAATAAATAAATAGACAAAAGCATTTGAAACTTTAGTTGATAAAAAAAGATAATGTAAGTAAAAAATAAGAAAAGACATCAAAATTGAGTAAAAATTTTAAAAATTATTTTTGTGATAGGTAAGAAATATCTTTTTATTTTAACTTCTGAAAATATCACTATTGTCATTTGAAGTACACTTGTATAAAAATTTAGAGTCTAGTAAAATAATTGATTTAATAAACAAATTAAGTTTAGGGTGCAATTTTATTTTACAAACAATAAAAGGGTAATTTTTTTACTCAAAATTAGAAAACAATCAAATAAAATTTTGAGTAACGATTTTATTTTACATTTTTAAAGCATTAATTTCTATTTAAATTGCTTAAAGTGCAATTAAACAATATTAATAAATTGCTTTAGATTTAGTGATGATAGAAGGCAAGATTGAACAGGCAAATTTGCTTACATTTTAGTATTTCAATAAAAAAAAAATTCAAATATTGCATAAAATAAAAAATCATTGTTTGAATAACTGTGAACAATAGCATTAGGTGAAAGTATAGTGAAACCTGTGTAAGTTGATCACTTGTGATGCAATATTGTACTGGTCAACATGAAAGGTGTTTTATTTATAGAGGGGGATACTTATAGAGTCATTTTTACTTTTTTTTAAAATCATATCTTAAGAAATTTTCCCTATAGAAAATACTGGCTATGACTAATTATCATATTGTTGCTCAAGTTATTCATATATTTCTTATACATTATCAACCATAAGAAAAATAAAAGTAAAATTTAATTTTTTAACATAACTTTAAAATTTTATTTATTAAATAATCCAGATATCTTAAGAAATAAGATTACAAAAAGAACAACAGTTTATTTAATTTAGTATTAAACTGATCAATTGAAATAAAACGATACACATAATTAGTTAGTTATGCATGCCAGTTATTTAACTAAAAATATCAATATACAAGAATATATTTGCAATTGGAAAGCATAAATTATATTTACACAAAATATATTTTGTTATATTCATTTGTCATAAAAAAGTCCTCAATATTTTCAAATATGGTTAAATCACACACAGGTTTAGGTTAGCTTTCTATACAATTTCACTAATTCAGTAAAATTTTATTAAAAAAGTAAATGGTTGAAAAAAATTTCTAAAATATATATTTTTTCCAGTCAACTAATGAAGGTTTTTTACTTTCAAAGAATAGCATTAAAAACACCTATAGACAAATTTGATTTATTCCAGTGGTCAATATACAAGATCAGGTGGTCAAGCAACAAAGGTTTTTCTACTTTTTTATAGGATAAATTTGGTTCTTGATAATAGCGGTCAACTCAACTGGTTTCACTGTATTACTTTGTCAACACTAACACTTAGTAACACCATTTTTGCACACCCAGAAGCATCCTGTGGTGAAAATAGATGTAGCATTAAGGTTTAGGGTGCTATGCAATGCTATAATATGCAAAATCTCTCTAATGTCAATAATTATCTCAAAAAATTACAAGTTCCGGTTTACAAAAATTTTTAATGCTTTTTCTAACTGTTCATTAAATCATATGGCCTTTTATACACCAAAATAAGAACTGAGTTCTTTACTGCCTTTTTTTTTTAAGAATTTAAAGCTCTGAAGCAAAGTGCGTGGTGTTGTTTTAAAGATGGTTAGTGGTAAGAAATATAATCCTCAAAAAATTAAATGCTCCTGGGAGCAAGTTTTTCAATAAATTCTGTACGTGCTCATTGCATCATTACTTATAACGCAAATATTTCAATAAAGTAAACACTTATCATTGACTGCCTTTTTTTTTTAAAAAAAAAGAAAAGAAAATTGCAACACAGAAATAAAGTGTGAGGTGCAATTTTTATGATAGTCACTAGTCCAGTATCAGAAACTTCTGTATTGATCTGCCGTTTTTTGAAGAAAGTCTAAAATTTATGTGCTGAGTGTGCTGTAAAATATATGAATGTTGCACTTTGTAGATTCACAGATTTAAATAGGAAATATTGTCGATTACTACATTATGTGTTGAAATAAGTTCACTACCAAAAGAAAGAATATAAAAATAAATTTTATTAAAAAAATCATTAAAAACATTTATTGAAAAAAAAGTCTGTATCAGAAAAATTAAAATGAATAATAATATTGATTTCAATTGTTTTTTAGTTTATTAAAATAAATCCACATTAAAAAAAAAAAGAAAAAATATTGATCGTGCAAACTAAGTTTAAAAAATTTAAATTTTGTAACAAAGTTCTATACAAAATAAAATAAATTTACACTTCAAACTGTGTTTTAAAACATAAAACAAAGGGTAGGGAAAACGAGGGTTGAACCATCTTCAGTCCGAGTCCCATTAACTCACAAAAAGAGGGAAATTACGGTTTTGCAGGAAAAAAATTGACTCTCCTAATTTTTAAGCGATAATCGTATTATTGTGTAATTTTCGCAAATAAAAACTTTGATTCAATTGTTGAATTTTGTGAGTCGTAATAAAATAGGATAGAAAAAAAGCAAACAACAACAACATAGAAATCCGGAGCAATATTTGCTGAAAAGTCTATCATAAAGTCACGTGGATTTACGATGGAATAGATGCAAATTGAGCTCGACAAACAGTGATAACTCAATAACATAATACGTGTCACGAACCACAATAAAACCGTATAATAAATATCGAGCTGTTAAAAATAATATACAATTCCGTAGTAGTTAACAGTAGCTGCTGAAAAAACGATGGAAAAAGCTGCTTTGTTTAAGATGAAATCGGCAAAAAAAAAAAAAAAATCAGTAAATAAATAAAAAAAGTGAGAGCGTTAAAAGGTGGTTACTTAAACATGTGATTCGAAATGCACGCATATTGTATTAAGCATATCATTCACGTGGAAATTAGTAGCAATTTCTGCCGAAAAAGCAATAGAAAAACTTCATGGATTTACTAAGGAGCTAATGAAATGCGTTGAACTGTGATTACCCATATGAATCAACTTTACAAATTTCCATGTCGCAATAATTTTTTATTTTTCAAGTATTTTTTTATAGAGTAATCGCACGATTAAATTTTATTTCAGCCAGAAAAAAAATAGTTAAGGAAAAACAAATACGCTCTCATTTAATTATACCTTTGTTGCCCTACTGGATGACGTCATACTGTTTTTTCGTCAATCAAAATTAGAGTTATTCCGTTATATTTTATTAAAATATATCAATGATAATCATAACTATAATAGTAAAAAAATGTTAAAATATAATAGTTACGTTGAGCGCGTAAAAATCGTCATTTTAAAATTTAGGATCCCTTGGATATATTAGCCGAAGTTTCTGCGTAAAAGCGCGTCAACGTGAACTCAGCGACGATGAAAAATGAGTTCTTAATATTGGATACACATATTAAAAACTAATTTATATACATTAGAAGAAAATTTTAATTTAACTTGAATCACCGTTAAAATTTAACACCACTAACAATGTTAAAAAGAGCAAGAATTAAATGCAATTTGAGTTTTTCGAATTAAAACTAGGACCTTTCGAAGGTTTTGAGAGAAAAATAAGGTAATTTTAGGGCCTATAAAACCATATTTAAATTTAATCCTTTTTAGGGACTTTTTAAGACAGGTAACACTGCATTATTAACAATAAAAATTAATAACTATTTATTGAAAATATGTGTTTGCATTACCTATACCTTCGAACAAACGAGTTTAATAAAAAGGTTATAAGTTTTTTAAATTGGCAATATTTAAATTTTTTTTTTCTTCAAATTATCTAACTCACTTTTAATTCCATTTGTTTATTAGCGAGGACTAAACTATGAAATCGAAATTTCGACCACTTTTGCCACTCGCTATAGTGCTCAAATTTCAAATGGCTCTTTGTGCTGCACCATAATAAACATTTTAATTATTTCCCGAACACTAAAAACAGGCTTTATATTCATTTAATGGCAAAATAGAAATTATTGCGAATTAAAGTTTTGACCACTTTCAGATATAAACAAACAAACAGATGAAAACCTAATTTGAAGAAAATATTGAAACAAAAATAATATATATTTTTTTTAAATTGGCGTTTATGAAGAGAATTCAAATAAATAAATAAAAAATAAATAAAGTATTATTTAAGTCACACTAAAAACGATAAACGTATTGCTTACGCAATAAACTTCCATCATCATCTAAAATTCTCGGACGTTTTTCGAAACAAAGCGTTCAGTTTCTCGTTTTAGGCGTGACAGCGATTATTTTCTTCTTTTTTGCTCGCATGAAAAACGTGTGTTCATAAATAGTTTTATTTTCAGCATTAAAATAGATTAATTCTATCTAAACTATAATTAAATATAATAGTTAATATTAATTCCATAAATTAAATTTAAAAAAAAATAAATGCTACAAATTATTTAGATTAAATAAATGATGAGAAATTTTTCATCCATATATTTTTTGACACAGACTTTCCGTTGCATAGGCGTTTTTGTTATTTAAAATAAATAAAACAAATTCTTTTTTTACCAAAAATTTGATTATTTTATTTCTATAAAAAATTAAAAATTTTTTAAACTCACATTAATGTGCTATTTTTCAGTTTTGGATTTAGACACAAGAAATAATATCGAACCAGAGATGCCAAAGTGAGAATAAATTTTTCTAGTAGTAGCAAAATTTATGTTTTAACGTAGGATTTCATTTAATCTGAATTTGCATACCACTTCATATAAATTATTCAAAAGTTCATATGAAATGCCACATTGTTACAATCATCATGTGGTGAATCTTCGAAAGTTGGCAAAATGAACGTCTGAACCAATTAAATATTTTTTTTTTTAAAGCGGAGCAGCTGGCATCACTGCTGAAATACACAATTTTGATCTTACTGAGTTATTTTTTAAATTGTGAATAAATCAGTCGGATCGGCTGGTTAAAACTAAACGTCTTTTTTTTTCCAAATAAATAAATAAATAAATAAATTTAAAAAAAAATAAATACTAGTTTTTTAGAAAGAAAAATTATATCTGTAATATAATTTTCTATTGCATATATACTAGTTATATTACAGCCAAATGAAAAATAGTACCTTTTTTTCACAAAAATGTTTTTTATTTTGAGTTTAACTGCTAATGTGAATCTGTGTTACTGGAAATAAACATTAATATGCTATTTTTAATGTTTACATATCATTACGCGTAAGCAAAATATTTATTTTACCCTTTAACGATCGGTTAATTTTCAAGAAAACGGTCATAAAAGTGCCTATTTTGTTTATCCCTGAAACTTATATAAAAATATGTGTATGAACAATATACATATTCATTTTTAATTTGTTTTTAGCTTAAAATATGTGTTTTAAGCATTAAAAAAGAATTTTATTAAACTTACATATAATATAAATAAAGATTATTAATTTTTTCCTAAGTGATAAATTTCAAAGCATGAGATACAGAGGCCAACGTCACAATCTGAACAGTAGTACCGAGTTTCCTTCCTACATCTCTGATTATTTTCATCTCTTCTGGAGCTAACTATCTACAATTACCATAAAAATATCCTGGTACTGCCATCTGGTGTGTAAAATGAGAAATAAAATGTTTTCCGGGCAAAAGAAATGAATTAGTTTTATTTTTATTGGAGCGTTACTACTGAACACTCCAGCTCGGAAATATCACGGGAGCGAGAAATAGAGGGCGAAACTTCACCCTGTCATTTTCACGGGAGCGAGAAGGAAGGGGATAAATAAAACTAATGTGAGCAAATCTAAAGTAAAGACATGTCTCTGAAAAATGCTTAACATAAAACAGACCATCACCAACTTCTAATTTTTATAGTTTTTTAAATTACTTATCTAATGTATGTATAGAACAAGCTAAGATTCCTTGATTTTCATCATGTTTAACACATTATTCCAGCATCTAACAAAAACATAAATGGTTATGAGGTGCTACTTTGACTTTTATATTTCACTATATTTTATTTTATTTATTTTTAGATTTTTTTTTTTTTTTTTTTTTTTTTTTTTTTTTTTTTTTTTTTTTTTTTTTTTNTTTTTTTTTTGTCATTAGTGTTAACACATTTTTACTGTATATGGCTGAAGATCGTGGAAGAGAATATTTTTGTGAATTGAGAATGTCTCCGTGAATTCTGTTCTTTGAAGAATGTTTCCATGCTGAAACTTTTTTTTTTCTGATGAGTTCCCAAAGGTATTCTATTAGATTCAGATCAGGTGATTGATTCGGCTAGTTCGAAGATTTAACCCTTTTAGCTGTAAAGCAACTTGCCAAAATTTTGGAGGTGTGCTTAAGATCATTATGCTGCTGAAATATCTAACCACGAAACAAATAAAATATTGCTAACTTATTGCTTCACGTTTTTAATTAAATAAAATTTTAGTTAAAAATTTATTTAAACTGAAATATTAGCAGAAATTAAGTAATATAAATATACTATGAGGTGGGCAATATGGAGCAGTCCATAGTGAAGAGCAAATGGTAATATAAAGCATAATTTATAGATATATATATATAAAACAAAATAAATAAATACAAAAATACACGAAGAAAATTAAGAAAAACAATAAGTATAATTTATTGCGCATAAGCTGCAAGTAAACAGAACTCAAACAGAATAGGTTCAAAATGAAGATAAAACAAAGGAAAATTACAGACATATGAAAAAAAGGGGGGGGGGGAGGGAGAAAAAAATAATAAAAAATAACAAACAACTGGAAAAAAAAAAGGATAAAATTTTTTTAAAAAATCCGGAAAATAAAAGATATAATCTTTTCATCAGCCCACACGATTATATCCGCAAAATATTTTTTCATATGTCGGTAATTTTCCTTTGTTTAATCTTCATTTTGAACCTATATATATATATATGACCTGCGTGCTCCGATCCACACGGTTTACGTACACTTACATCACCTACGACGTTTTATTTCTAAAATTTGCATACAAATAATCTTTCTACTGAATTACGTGCATATAATACTACAATTTCATGGCTATCTTATACTTTGTTGGGGAGCTGTGGCCGAAAAACCACTTGTTGCTTAAGTTTTGCACACCAGTGTACGTAAAATTTTGGTAAAAATGGTTTAACATGTTGCAGAAAACGTTGTTTCATAATTTTTTCTAGTCTGTGTGGCTATTTGTTGACGAACATCGTAAGTAACTTTTGTAANATATATATATAAATAAATAAATTCCTGAAGTGCTTCGAAATTGCATTAAGTGCAGATTTTAAAAGTACAGTAACAGAAATTGGCTAAAACCAAATATATATAACAATACGAATTCTAAGTAAGCGTATCGAACCATGTCAAAGAGGAAAAAAGATAAATATATAAGTAGAAGTCCATAACTTAAAAATTTAAAAATCTTAACTAAATTTAAAAATCTTAACTAAATTTAAAAATCTTAACTATTCTAAATTGTCATGCATTTGTAATAGTTATTTTTTTCCGGTTCGTAACCTATGAAGACAGATATAATATCAAATAAAACGCGCAAGTTAACAAAGCAGCAGATGCAAAAATAACTTAAATAAATAAACCTTAGATCTATACATACTTGCCATTGATCAGAGTTAGACTGACGATTATGTGCAACCTGTTCACTTTGCACAGGTGAATAACGAGGTGATAAAGCTGGAGAACAATCTCTTTTACGAGAACTAGAAGAGCGAGACCTTCGAGATCCACCAAAGCCTTGACAAGACCTGTGCATTGCACAGGGTGAGGAAGACTCCCTTCTACGTATTTCATGATGAGGTGAAGTACTATGGCACCAAGTTTGAGATTCTTGGTAACGAGGTGAGTGTGGTAAACCTGTAGGTGGTAGGCAAGAGCAAGTTTGATAAGGTACAAAGCTCATATCTCCACCGCAACAATCATGATTGTAAGGAACCAATTCCATGCTTGGTAATACTCCCCCATGATGAACACACACTGTATGTGGTGGAGGAGATGGACAACACCAAGATGAACGCATTGGCGACAAATGGCGGCGACATCCATGAAGCTCATTATATGGACTAGGTGTCATTCTAATATGATCAGCCATATCAGCTGATCTTCGCGGCCAAATAGGTGTTGGTGGTTTATTGTGACGATGATGAGATGATCGGGCAGGTGAAGCTTGGCAAGACGGTATTCCAGACTCATCAGCAGATAATACTTGCTGATGTTCCGTACTTAATTCTGTATACATATTAGAATCGTTTTGTTTCTCATGGTGAGAATAAGCAGACATTCCTTGCGAAGTTGGACTCAGCCATTCAAACTCGTGAGACGCTGAGCAAAGGTCAGCAACTGAAGTAGTAACGGCAGTGGAATCATTGCGATCGTCATCCTCATCATCTTCTGTGTCATCTCCATTCTGCTTTTCGGTCGGAATTCCAACAGAAGAATTTAATCCGTTTTTATCTGCTAAATTACACTCCATGGTGGGTTGATTCTTCATTACCAATGATTCAAAGTTTAAACACTAAGAATTCCAACAACGAAACAAATCTGAATAAGACAGGTGTATTATTATTTCCAGTTGGCACATGTTGTATTGCGCTCATGCCTATAAATATCAGTTGAAAAGAAGCGCGAAAGATTGCTCCAGTGTAGAGTCCACTTTAAAGAGAGCACTAGGAAATGATGCTGCAGCAATCGCGGACGGCGCCACACTAGCTTAACATTTCTTTTTTGGTTTACCGTCCTAGACCTTTAAAAAACGTATGCCGCAGAGAGTAAAGAGGAGTCTTTGTGTGAATACCAAGCATCCTCAACACTCAGCTACATCACCCTTCAAATGATTATTTGGCTAAAATTCATTTTCCGATAGTTCGTTTAATAACGTTTTCGTTCGAAGATGAGTTATATCGCGGGGCGCGGGTCGAAAAGTGTCTGTAAAATTGGAACACAGAGATGGGGGTGAGGAAGGGTAGATGATGGGAAGAGTGAAGGGCTTTCAACCCCTCGCTGTCTCTGGCAAATATTTCTCCCAGGCTTTAAAAATAACCTGCCTACGTAATTTTGAATGACGAACATCAACGCAGCGTTATTCTAATCTTTATTTTTTATTTACAAAGGAAGCTATAACAGGAAAGACAGATAATGGCGCAATAACAAATGAAAAAAAAATCAATATAATTTTAATTGTAACAAAACGTGGAAAGTTACATATTAAACCGCGTATACAGTTATATTAATAACTATAAAAATACTTTATTTTAATATTTTAAATTATCTTGAATAGTAACGGTAACTTAAAAAATAATGTAAAAAAAAAAACTTTTTTTCAGAAATAGTTATTTATAAACAGAATGGGAATATTTATTTTAAAAATTTATTTCGACATAAAAACAAATGGCAAATTGGAAACAACACATCCTATTAATCTTCCCCCTCTAAAAACATTAAAAAAACTGGCAAGCTTTCCATTTGTCTACGAATGTAGACTACTTTATTAAAACTCCGGAAGTATGTATCTAGTGCTTCTTAAAAATTTAAAACATTCCAAGACAAAAAAAATAAAAAATAAAAAATAAAAAAAAAAAAAAAAAAAAAAAAAAAAAAAAAAAAAAAAAAAAAAAAAAAAAAAAAAAAAAAAAAAAAAAAAAAAAAAAAAAAAAAACGTGATACAAAGCTATAGAAGGAACTTTAACGCTGCAATTTTTGTACTAACTTTTACTTACTGAGTATTTATATTAAATATTTTAAATTATACGATAAAAATTGCTGAATATTTAAATAATCTAAAACAAATATAAAAAGCTAAACATTTAATTAAATCCATTTTAGAAACTATTTGATATGTATCACATTTTAATATCACAAAAAAGAGCTTCTTATTTAAAAAAACAATAAATAAAAAGAATAACAATTTAAATAATTCCTCAATTTTTCGATAGTATCGTTTCAGATAAGCACTTTTTGTAAGTTAAGTAAAAGTACAAAACAAGCTTTTCTTTCACTTTTGTTAAAACCAATATTAAAGAAATCGAACTACGCGCCTTTTTTTTTTAAATAAAATATATCAAACGAAATAGAGAAAATAAAATTTATTAAAAAAATTAAAGAATATCAGTTTTTCAAAAATGTCAATTTCCCCCCTCCTTTTTATCAAAAGAATTTCTATTAAAATGGAAGAAAAAAAAATCTAGAAAGGAAAGCTTAAAGGAAATTGAAATACTTAAGGACTGTATCGAATGTAAGGTTTAATGGCACAAGATATGGATGCGGGTATACTGCGCTAAATTTATTAAGAATGACTTTATACATGAAATGGTCTTTGGGTAAACGAGTTTTAAAATTAGGTGTAAAAATGTTAAGATACTTACACTTGGTTTCAAGGATTCAACGCGAAATGTTAAAAATAAATCAACCCAAGTTCAAATGAAATAAAAATTGTGATCACTCTCGTAGATAAAATATAAAACGCCATTTTTTAAATTCTGGTTTGTCTAAAATTTGCAACATGAAATTCTCCATTTAATTGCTCAATAAAAGCATTTTGCAAAAAAAAAAAAAAAAAAAAAAAAAAAAAAAAAAAAAAAAAAAAAAAAGAAAAGAAAAGAAAGAAGAATTGAACCCTCAAAGGGGCAAGTTTATTTAGAAAATCTATATTTGAAGAGTAGTGTTATATGATGAATCATTAATATAGCATATTACTTCCCTGAAATAAGATCACACAAGATTAAATGTCACACAAATTATTTTTTTTCCTGCCCGCCTCAGAAGCACAAGGAAAAAAGAATTAACGAACATTAAAACCAAATCATACGGTAATAGATGAAGCAACGTGAGAAAATTAAAATAATCGAAATACAAATTATCTATAAAAACAAGATGTAGAAATAATGAAGAGCCACAGAGAGGCACCATATTTTAGCTATTATTTTTTAAGGGTAACTGGGTGTAAAGTTTGCCATAAAATGCTTGGTTATATTAAATATTGCAAAGACTTTTTTTGTTGTAAAGTTTTTTTCTGAAGATCATTTTTGTTCACCAGCATTAAAAATACCAAAAAAGGATAAAAAATTTTTGTAAAAAAAATATACGCATTCATTTTATTTTTAAACTTATAAATTGTTAAAATTACAGTTGACAAGTTTTCGACGCATGGCGATTTTTATCAGTTTTTACCGTGGTTCTTACCGTAATGTTAAAAACCTTTTCGTCAAAAACGATAAAAAATTCAGGTCTTTGGTGATATTGTATTTTCATTTTATTTCAATTAATTAAAATTGAAATAATAATTGCATCGAATTTAAAAAAAAAGTATATAAGATATTTGACAAAAAAATGATTTAATATTATTGAGAAAAATATAGCGTATTTTTCAAGTTGTGATTTGCATTAAATTGAGTTATAAATTAAGCAAAAGTTTAAAAAAATTAGATAAAACAGCAGCAGTTCTTCAATTATCTTATCTTCAGTTACAAATTTTGGAACAATATTTTAAGATTATCTACAGATATCCAGGTGTATTGTAAAAAATATAGGTGCTGAATGGATACCAAGAACAAAATAAGATCTGTATGGTACACAATTTTTTTGAACATATTTTTAATACTTTATAAGTGCAATTTATTTTATTTATTTATATATTTTTTTTATAGTTTCGTCGCAAACCAAGACTTAAAGGTATGTACAGTCCGCAAAAAAAAAAACGAATCACCCTGAATAACTTTCGTTCTAATGATCGGATTTTCACGAACTAAGTGTCAATCTTAATGGTTCCTGGGGGTGACCTCAAATATGCTAATTAATTAGTGCTAACTATTAATTAAGTTACGAAATCAGACACAAAAACGTACTTTCTCTGAATAAACATGCATTTTTTTTTACATATTTGGATTTCTTATCTTCAAAATATAGGGGGTAGCCGCAATCTGGGAAATGTGGTCCCCATAGTTTGGTCAGGAGAGCGATTCAAAGTTCGTACCCCTTAATGTTAATTTCGCTTTTTGCGTTTTCAGTCATATTTTCAAAACTAATGAAGCAATTCAAAAAAAATTGCACCCACTCATAAAACTCATTTACCCAAAGATAATTTCATGCAAAAAATAATTTTTAATAATTATTTATTATTTTTTATTATTTAATTAAAGTGAGGATGAAAAAATATTGAATTATAAGGTATGAATTTTTTTATACCATATTAATCTACATATTTTTCAATTGAAAAATCTAAAGTTTCAACTGTTTTTATTTATTAGAAGCTGAGAAAAATTAAAATTAATTATTTTTAAAAAAATAATTTGGCGACAATAAAGAAATAACTAATTGGGGCGATTAATATTAAAATGTGATAAACTTGGGAGGAACTTGACTTCGCGCGCGTAGCGTAAAATTTCATTCATATTTTTTTCGCTAATAATCGTTTGCTAATCTTTTTATTTTTATTTCTTTCACACTATAAAATACGATGTTTCTTTTTTAGTCATTTAATAATTTATTTGCAATTTAGTAAAGAATTTTGAATAAAAAACACTTTATTCAACAAATGTCTAGTTTTAAAAAAGCGTGCTTCTGATAGAATACACCAGATTGTGCTTATTTAATGTGATTATTTTTTATTTTTTTTATTTTGTTTTTCAATAACTGATACAATTTCAATAATATACATACGTATGCATAGATTTGGAATAATATATTTATCAATTTCTTGAATATATATTTTATAAATATTAATAAAAATACGTAGTCAACATTTTTAAACATCTCTCACAACATCGCAAATTTCTCAACATCTTATAGGGTAAACTAAACAATGAAGGAACACTTAAGCTTAGCTTGCCTTTAAAAAAAATTCATAAAAATTTCAAAATTTGTAATTTTAGCTAAATGATGGTTTCGACATATTTGTTATTAAATGCAAATTATGTAAAAAAAGTTAGATAACTTACATAATATTGTTTTAAGCTTTTGGTGGTTTAAATAATAAGTAGTAAGATGACCAAGTGAAGGAACAGTTCTTACCAGTGAATAAACACTAAATTTTCCAGAGAATGAACACTTAATTTTGATAATGTTTGATGCTCGTTAGGAATCCATAGGCCACACAAATGTCTAAAAACAAGATTTTTCTTGGAATTACGACATATAACCATAGTTAATGTGGAAAATTTTACTTTTTTTTCAGTCATGGAATGGAAAGTAAAATATGTTTGAATACATAATTTTAAAAAAATGTTTTTCATTTTTTTCTCACAGTTTAATAGTCCGTTCTAAATTATGAATGTTTATCATTGTGTAATCTGATGATGTTTTTATTATTATTATAATTCGATCATTTTTTTGTTTAATCTTTTCCTCATATTTTTTAAGCTTTTTTTTAAATCTTTTTAAGTATTTTTTTTCTCTTCGTCATGAGTAATTTATTTCTTTTTCTTTTGATTTAACCTTCCTCTTTTTTCCAAATTTTTGGCCAATGTAAATGTATCTTCGAAATTTCTTTTGATTTTCCAGTTCCATTTCCAGAATTCCTCACTGGATAATAAATGAGAAAAAGGAGTTTCGAAGTTTGAGTAAAACCCATCTCTCATTGACTTATATCTAGTAGTTACTTATGAAACCAATCGTTTTTGCAACTAACAATGCCTCAAGAGGACTTATCTCAAAATCGGTTTTCAAGATACTTTCATTATTAATGTTAGTTGTCTCAGCTTCAGAGCCAAAATTTGATTATACAATTGTTCTTTTTGAAATAAATTCTTCAATATTGAGAAAAGCGCAGGCTATTGGATATTTGGGAGATTAAACTTTTCTGTCAATGTTCCTTTAAAAATTTGCAACATAACTTGTGAGATTTCCTTCTCAAGCTTCTGAAGAAATAGCGCATCGTTACTCTCGAAGCATGTGTTTTGTTGATAAGTTGTCTTGCTCATTAACTCTTGGTGTCTGTTTTGCATGCATTTGTTACAGTCAACGTTTT